CCTGATCTCTCCTTACTCACTCAACCAGAGAATTAAGAGCATCTGCCCACAGGTGGTGAGTTTAAACCACAAGACAGCACTACTCTCCAGTGGCTTTTTACATTTTTAGTAGCTGTGATAGATAGAGAAATGTGCAGAAACACAAACTACGTTTGCTGTTACAGCTCAGAGCAAATCCAAGTTTCAGCAAGGGATCTCAGCAGATTAGCTGCATCGTTCATGATTGAAGCTGCGTCTGGTGGCCTGAAGGGCGGGGGCCCCAAAAGGAGCAGTCATGCTAATCAGTCACACCCACAGGGGTAGGTGTGCCCGGCTTCTGAATGTTGTGTCAAGAACTCGACACTTCTTGTTGCAGCTCCATGGAAAACTCCACTCAGCTCAAATGTTTGGTTTAGATCAAGACGTGAGCTGCCTGAAAAATCCCTGCCTGGGTTCACTGGTGGTATTAACTTCATTACCATATCAGTGATGAAAGGATTGTGTCAGCTCTACTTTACAGGCCAAAGGTTGTGAGCAGCTGTTTGGACCCAAATCTCAGCTTCATGATGTGCTGCCAAGATTTCCCACAGACAGGAGAAGATCATTTTGGATGATGAGTTTTTGTCCCCCTAGTACTTAATGTCCCTACAGAAGTATCAAAGAAAAATTGAGAATGTCATGAAAATAGACTATATTTTTTTATACTCATTTAGAAAGCGGAAATTGTATATTGCATAAATGAATTCCACAGAGTGAAATAAGTTAGTTAAACCTTGTGATTTTGCCGATTATTGCTTAAAGATCATGAGAACCCAGAAATCTGGGTCCAAATTGCATTTAAATAAAAATGTCAACCCTACAACAACCTTAGACCCTGAATTCTTATTTCAATGTATTTCAGACATAATCTTTAAAAATACAAATAAATAAATAAATACATGTTTCACTTTATGATAGAAAATACCAAAAAAGTAAAACAAAGATTTTTTTGTGATGTACCTGTGCACTAGCTCACACCGTGTTAGTAAGGTGAGGGTTAACGGTAGAAGGTTTCACAATCATTGTGGCTAAGAGACAAAGAAAAAGTGTTGTTCCATTTTTCTTTTGACCAAATCGTTTTGATTCTTTTTCGGTGCCTTCTTGGGGAGTAAAACTACTTAATTAATTTGATAAAATAAAAAAGCACATGTAATTTGTAGGCATGCTGCTGGTGATCTACATTGCCTGCTTGTGCAAATAGTTTATTTCCCCTTTCAAGTTGGACGCAATGGAGTTGAAGATCATGATGACAATAATAAAACAATAACAGAAATACTTAATACTGTTAATAGTGGACTTCATATTTATGTATCCCAATGTCCTATAAACAAAGGTAAAAAAATCTAAAAATCAATAGACCTAAAAGGGTTAGGTATCAGTAACGAAATGTTGGAAAGCTAATATGATCAGCCTTCCCATATAACCCAACATAAATGTGCTTTATGGAAACAGGTGGAAATATAATTTTTTTGGTCTGGTAATTTTCTTTTTTTTTTTTTGTGCTTTGTTTATGAACATGTCACAATATTTAGGGCTTAGTCGCATCTCTGACAGTCCAGCTATGTTACATGAATTAAGACCCCCTCTCTGCATTGACTGCCATCTTCTCAATGTCTGCCTTCATGTTAAATCACCGCTGACATTTCTGACTTTCAAATGTTCTAAATAAAGAATCAAGTCTTTGTCGTCATTAAGTTTCAGGATTTAGAAATGACCATAGGATGTAAGTAATTGCAGTTGCATTCCCCAGTATATCCAACCCTTGGGTCATAAGCAGCACAGGTTCGTCATATTCATGAAGTTGTCATATTATATATTAAAAAGTTTGACCTGCTGATTTTGGACAAACTTTGATTTGCACCTGGTTTGTAGATCCACTTTGTGCGTTCTATAATGATTTCATGTATTTATCTGAGGCCCGTTTCACAAAGCGGGTTTAAACCTGAATTTAGGGAAACTTTCAGATTTCTGTTTCACAAAGAATTTCCTCAACCTGTTTCTGTTACCATAGGAACATTTTACCCAGAGCCAACTTGGTCTGCAGCAGGTTTCCTCAGTCTCTTCTGTCGGCCTCCTTAGAGCCAGTCATGTTGTTTTATTTCCTTATTCAGTCGGGAGAGTTCTGTCATAGTTTTGTGCGAGCAATAAAAAGAAAATCAGTGAGTAGGTCTGTTAGATAGAAACACCAACAGAGCACATCTGATCTACTAAACCATCCAACCAGTAAACTAGTTTTCCCCAAATAATCTTATCATGAGAACAGGTTGTGGCAGGCAGTTTAGATATTTATTAGGTTGTCAGAATCAATATTTTTGATATCTGAAATATATTTTGTCCTTGTCAAAATGAAGTTTTTAAACAAAATGACAATCTTCATTGACATTTCTGAAATAAACATTCTTGATGTCTAGAAATTAATTTCAGAACTCCATATTCCTACACAAACTGGTCAGAATTTGTATTATTTTGATCAAAAAGAAATATATTTCAGATATCAGAAATACATATCCAGTCAAGCTGATTGAGTGTCAAAACAGCTTATCAAAATGTGTAAACATTTCTAGGAATATAAAACTTGATTCTTACTGGTACTATTTTGTTTTTTGACTTTCTTAAATTCAGCTGTTGAAAAAAATTTTGTTTAGAAAATTTGTTATTAAAGTACCAAACAGGAATTTGACCATAAGGAATCCTATTTTATTGATCTACAAATGGAACATCAGAGAGAAGAAATCTTTGAATAATGTTAAAATGGCCTACCATAATAGACTTCATATAAACCTACACATTAACTCAAACAGCAGTTTTCATTAATGCCAATTCTCTGCAGCTGTAGCTCTGTCTTTTAAACATTTTCAATTTTTTTTTTATTTCTACATTAAAATCTCCAATTCCAGTGGGTTGAAATAGTCCCTTCCTGTTCCTGTAGTCATGGTGACCCTTCAATTAAGTGCTCCAATGATAATGGCTTTGCACATTCTTAACTCTGAGAGGACCTACTCAGAGTTGATTAAACTAACACCCACCAGCCGTTGTGAAACCAAAAGCTCAGTTTCCAACCTCATGCTAGATCAATTTAGATCAATTAGAGTTGAGGATTTGAGTCTGAGTTTGTTAAACCTGCTTTGTGAACAGGCCTCAGGCCCTTAGTGTTCCTATCACACTTCATTTATAGCTTTAGCCGTGCATCCTTTCCTCTCTTCAGCCCTTTCCGTAGGTCTCCAGGATTTAGGTTATTTAAACTGAGAGGACCAAATAATTAGTTTTCATTTTTCTTGGGCTGGAGAAAAATTTCTGTTTATTTGGCCAAAATTACAAGCTAAAATAAACAGGCCACCAGAATTTTGTTTAAAATCTTGTCATATTTTAAAGAGGTGATGATATTCAACAGCTTTCTAGGAACAACGCAAGACAATCAGGCCCACAGTCTCATAAATCTTTCACCATGCTAAACAGTAGCCAGGAGTTGCCTGGCACATCCATTCATAGTATTTCACACCAGATACACACGAAATGTTTATTGCCTTCGAAATTATGTGACCAAACTTACATTTGAATTTAGCATCATGTGAGTTTGTTTTTCTTCTTCACCATCCTCCAGTGTTTTGCATGAAGGACAGAAAAACATGGGGTACCACAGAAAACAGGAACTTATTGAAAACTTTGATGAACTTAAATAAAGGTATTAGCGTGCAAGTGATGTTCCATGAGCTTTGCAATGAAAAAAAACAAAACAGATTTATCGTTATAATTAAAGATAAAAGTTGGATTTATTCTAAGATTTTCAGCTTGAAATTATGCTTCTTAAATAAATGCATTTCAAGACTTAAGCTCTCCTTTACCAGAAGTAAAATAAATATGCACAATCACATTAAAGGAGATGGATACAACTTTAACTGCTCCTGGCCATTAGGTGGCGCAATCATACGGTTTCGTTCAAACCCTTCAATTATACGGTTTTCCAGTCGACTGTAACATCTGACAATGCAAATGCTAACTTTGGTTGACATTAGCAAACATTCAACACCCCCACATGCCTTCTGAGCTCCTTAAGTTGCCTCCAATGCTAAAAAAAAATACAGATTTTCACCTAATTGTGCCTCTTTTTTAGTCTTTTTCAATTTGACAAATGTCGCACTGAGAAAAATATTTTTTCTCAGTGATTAAGGTGCAATTAGTATCAGGCCACCTCCAGGATCCGTCTCAAAGGACCTCAAGCTACTTTTCCTATTGGTGCAGAATCCCTTCATATCGATGCTGGCATCAAAACCAGAAGTAAACATTTATTCATTTTGGACCTGTCAATTGCTTATCCAACAGTTCTTTATAAATTATTGATCTATATTTTTGCCCCAGTAAAATTTGTACTTTTTTTGCAGCCCTGTGGATGTTCTGTAGATGTATTATATATTTGGAAAAAAATTGTGGTTTTAAAAAAGTTGTAGTTACCTTAAAAAATCTTTGAAATCTGCAAAGCTGAAAATAAGTTTATCTGTCTGTCTGATCCTGAAACCGTGAATGATGTAGAATTTTAATCAGAAGAAGTGAAAGTTTTTCTTTGGAAACATTTTGTGTGACAGGACTTTTTAGGAAATCTCATCACACCCACAATCTGATGAAGCATTCCACCTTGGATGAGAGCTGATTCATATGCTAGCTGACAAACCCAGAGGCTTGTTTTAACTGATCTAATGTTCTGCAAATTGAACTAACTTACAGCATATACAAACGGAGTCCTGACTTGCCCAAGCATGTTTGTCTTTACACTTCTCCAGGAGCTTCTGAAAACAAACCCTCTATATGTGTGTGGGGCGTGTTTCCATACGTGGAAAGCTTCAATCAAAGCCATGGCATTCAAAGTGACTGACGTGTTTAGACAGGAGACAATCGGAGACAATTTCCATGTCGTACCTGATACATGGGTTTGCATTGTGAGCAGACAGCCTCAGACACAAAAACAACTCAGACTCCACGTGTGCTGAAATAATAATGAGTTATATTTTAAAGCACAGACAAACAATAAATCAATAAAACAGAAAAGATGTGCAAAAGAGTAAAAGCAAAAAATGTTTAAAGTGATAAACAGCATTGTTTTTTTTATGAGGGGGATGGGATGGGGGTCAGTGAAGTGCAGAAAAAACAGTAACATTCAGACGTTCAGGTACGAACGCAGCAAGCTGCAGCTCGGGTCCGAGGAGTTCAGTGTGTTGGGTTATTAATACAGTAAAACATTTACATCCTACAGATTGTCTCAGCGGTGCAAGCTTCACACCAGAGCGTCATTTGGCAATAACTAAGGAGCCCATTAGGTCTCCCCCCGTCCTGGACAGGGACAGCTACCGTTTCAAAATTCCCCATCCCGCATTCAGAGGTGAAAAACAGGATGTGAAATGGAGTGGATATATTGTATTACTCTTCCTGTGAGCTGCTGTCGCTTAAATGAAGCTAAAAAGCACACGGTCAGGAAGCTAGGCTAGAAATGAAGAGGAGAGAGCAAAAAAAGCTAAACCTAGCTTACCCCTCTGACCTCAGCGGATTTCAGCAGCACAGTGCAGCACCCAACATCATTTCAATCATGTTCTATTCAGCTTTTATAATAGATAAACCCATCCTTATATGAGGCTAAATACCTTCAGCATGGATTCTTTTCTGGGGTTTTCTTTCAGATTGACTTTGTGTAACAGCGATCGTGTCTCAGAATACTGTGTAGTGGAGTCTTTAGTCTTTGTTCTTTAGATGTTCTTTGGCCAGTTTAGCCTAATTAGATGTGTGTAAAAGTTGGCACTCTTTAATGATCCAAAGAAGGATCATAAAGAGTGAAAACCAGAAAAGATCTATCCGATCATTTCCTGGTTGTACTGTAAAGCTCAGTTCCAGCTCCGGGGGTTCGTTTAGATCAGTTAGATAAAGAGAAAGCTCTCATCCTGCATTACTCGTTCACCTGTTCAACAATGAATTCTCTTTTCTCATTTTATCAACACTTTGGCATCATTAGAGATCAAGCTGGGAGTCATTTTAACAAATTCTTCATCTAAGATTTTCACTGCTTGCTCTAACTGCTGATGATGTCATTCTGACTGTTAATACGTAAAGCTATTAACGTTTGGATCAGACGGAGAGCACCGTTCTGCCATTCAGCTGCAGTTAGGGAAGTGTCTGTCCATCAAGGTCAGCATTTATGCCCAGCCCGGTCAGGAGTTTCTGAAGGTGTGCGATGGTGCTGGCTAGTTGTTTCTTTTCTTCCTCGAGAGCAGAAACCTGCTCCTTCAGCCGGCCCTCCGACTGGGCGAGGGCCTCCACTCGGCTCTCCAGGTTGCAGACTCGTGCATGGGACACCTGTGTGAAGAAACAGCATTAGTAGTTGTTTTTTTAACGGACTGGAGAACCAAAGTTTATCTGGATAAAAAGTCCAGTTAGATTCTAACTTCTAAAAAAAAAAAAAAAAAAATGTAATTCCTTAAAACATTAAATTTTGTCCTAACATGACTATAAATCATCACTTGGTTATTTGCAAACCGAATAAGTATCAAATCTATGAGCTCTAATATAAACCTTATGTACTGCCTTTCCACAGGGTTACACTTTCACATGGAGCTAGATATAAAAAAAAAAAAAAAACATTAAAACACTATTTTACATATTCTGAGTCTAGGGCTGCAGATATTTAAAAACGTGAAGAATTCTCTGATAATTAAAAGGTCAGAACCAGTTAGAACCGGTTCCAAATGATTCTCTGTTCCCAACACTGACAAAGAGTATCTCCAACAGGACCCGACAACTTAGGGTTTTACATTTTAGCCTCAATTTATATATTTACAGATTTAAAAATGTTTAAATTTTCATTTTGTATCTGCCAGCAGAGCTAAAGTGGTTTCTTCCGATAAAATGGTTGCTGACCCCTTGGTTTAGGTGAATGTCCATAACTCACTGAACATCGCCCTGTGAGACCACAGAATTTTGGGATATTGTTCTAAAACTCAAGTCTTCTTTAAACTTTTCCACTAACTCCTCCTTGGTTTGGCTGATGTCTCCTTGGTCTTTATGGTTCCATTTTTATCCCCAAAGTACTCTAAAAGACTTCTGAGGACTTTCCAGAACAGAAAAACTATTTTCATTTGAAAATAAGTTTTTCTTTCCACTTTGTTTCTGGAATATTGTAACCATAGTACAGTTTTTCATATTTCTGTCTGTCTGTGTACCTGCAGCTCCTCTAACAGGTCCAGGTTCTGCTGGCGGAGGCTCTGATTGGTCCTCTCTAGTTGGGCAGCTCTCTGCTGCTGGTTGAGAGTTGGCGGCGTGTCCAGCAGCTCATCCTGCAGCACATGGTACTCCACCTCATAGGCCTGCAGCTGCTTGGATACATCCATCTCACAAACCTGATGCACAAGAAGCATGATATGAAGATGTCAAAACGGCCTTAGAGAAATAAAAAACATATTGAAGATTATAACGGATAAGGAACGTAGGTTTATTTAAAGCATCAGTTTGTCAATGTGTCAAAATTACTGGATGACATTTGAATTTGTTTCTAACAGTGAAACTAAGACAAAGTTGAGATAATTTTTGAATAAATGATTCAAACTCATTTCATTTCATTGATTTATATTACTCTTTAAATCAAGCAAGTAAGTTGAGCAGAGCACTTAATGGTGAGGTCAGATAAAAACAAACATACAACATTATAGGCAGACGACAAAAAAATAAAACTATAAATTATTAGCCACCATGCCGCCTAAAAAATAGGTGAAGGCGGCACCGCTGCAGGTATTTGGTGTTTATTTTGCAAATGTTATTGTTCTTATTGTAATAAAAGAGTTTCAGCCATAGAAATGACACATAACCAGGAAACACAAGCTGTCAAGACTGAAAATAGGTCAATGCTGCATTCAGCAGAGAAAAACAAACTGTTACTGACAGAAAGCTTTCAGCAGAGAGACAGCTGTCAACAGACTCTCCCCGAGTCCCTAATGCATAATTACAGGCTTTGCTTTTTATAATACTAAGAATGTATGAGCTATTAGGACTATAAAAGGGGAGACTGATATATTTCAGTTCCATTTTCCTTTGTTATTCACCAGAGTTATGTAGACACCCAGCCGTCACAATCTAAGAGGTGGGGCATGAAAAAGGTCTTAAAAGCTTTCTTTAGAATTAACACTTTTACCAAAGTAATATTAACATAACTAGAGCTGATTTCCCTCCCCATTATTTCAGATATCTAAAAGGGCAAAAAAAATACTGAACCAGTTGGTGACAAAACAATACATTTGGTCTCAGACCAATTTATAAAGAATACCTGATTGAATCAGGCATGAATATCAGTTTCTGACCTTACATGTAAACATGCTGATTTTTTTTCCAGGTCTACAGATGAAGTCCAATACAGTTCCTCAACAATAACACAGCTAGACTCAGAGCAAAAATGTCAGGTTTACTCAGCAGAGTGAAGCATTGCAGCTGGTCGGATAAAGATCATACAGATATAATAGAAATTTTGCCAACCTGTTTCTTCTATCTGTGAGAAAAACTAAATGACAAACAATCAGACAATAAAGCAGCAGATTAGGATGAAAGTATAGAAACCTTTAAGTCTTAAAGACTTAAATCTCATCAAAGATTAATTATGATATCAAGAGTTTGGTTGCTGCATTCCCATCTGTTCAATTATCAATGAGAATGGTATCAAATATTTCCCTTGTGAATTTCTTTTACTGTGATTAACATTTTTTTATTTAAAACTGATATTTTTATAGGTTGCTTTATTATGTTAGTAGGAAGGAACAATGAATGAGATAAAAAAACGACAGATTATTGAAAGAATTCAGCATTTACCTGAAGTAATGTCACATATAAATATGTATATGTGACATTATATATATTATTAGCACATACATACGTGTCCACAGTGTTTTACAAATGTTCATTTAGAAATGTTAATTCACTAAATGGAAGTGGTGGCCTAGTAGGTTAGAGCAGTGAGCTTGTACTCCGAGAAGGTTGCAAGTATCTGGTGGGATCCAGACAGCCGACACTCCTGAGTAAAACCTTTAACCGCACAATGGCAGCCCACTGCCAGCCAAGGGGATGGGTTAAATGCAGAGGTAAATTTCTCTAATGTAAGATCAATAAAGTTCAATTATTATTAATAAATATATTGCTTTTTAGATAAATCAAGAAAAAACTATTGATAGCTGCAGTTCTTCTAATTTGCCACATTTTCTAACAGAATCAAACTTCTTAATCAATACAAATAATTTCTTATTTTAGTCATAAGTAATTTATGGGAATAAAGTTACATACTATGAAAAAAAACATCCATACTGCACCTTGATGTCCACTGATCGAAGAGATCCCCTTTCTAACAGTATTTCAGTGAAATTATTTATTACAAATAAGGCTGCAACTAATTATTATTTTGATAATCGTTTAACTTGTCAATTATTTTTTTGATTAATCGGTTATAATCGGATGGCAAAGAGATCTGTAAGGAAGAATTTAAACCAGTTGAAGCTGAAACTAGGCTATAGTTCTTGACAAAAAAGGTTATTGATCTTGAGCACAAATTGTTTAATACAGTTATAGTTTAATTTCTGCTCTGAGTGGGTTGCTATTTAAGCTAATAGTGTCTTTTAGAAAATTTAGAAAAACTGCTAATGCCACGTTTTTTTTTCAGTCTTTATACTCCAGATGGCAATCAATCAATTACTGAATTAGATGGGAATATTTCAAAAATTGATTAATTACAATTAATCATTTTAATTGTTTCAGCTCTAATTAATAAGACTGTTATTGTTTTTCTTTTTTAAATCAGGAAAGATCCCTTAATGTTGTGGTTTTGTGGTGTTTGATCTTTCGGAAGGGATGTTTTTCTCATCGATATGAATGTTGCCGCCTTGTGTGAACAGGGCCAATTACTTTATTTGATTTGTAAAGTAATTGAAATTGCTTCAATGATGGGGATTAAAAACATACTAACAAAGGGTTGGTTGTTGGTTCTTCAGCAGAAAGCATTTCTTGGAATGTTAGAAAGGAAGTTGTTGCAACTTTGATCTTAAAAACTTATTGTCAAGACCTGAGAGCTCCATGTTTCAATTCTTAGTGAAACATAAACTACAGAAACTAACAAAAATAGTTTCTAAACACATTACATTGCAGAGAAAGCTATACAAGTTAGGATATTTTGTTTATAAATGAACTATTAATAGGGAAAATCCAGGGGCATCAGATGCTTTATTGACAAAATGTAGTGAAAATTAGAAAAGCATAAAGCAAACACGGACAAGTATAAATTGAAGTCAAAATAAGAAGCACATACAAATGGCTGAAAATCCACCTCATATTACTTGCTTACATTTGGTTCCCACTGTAAGGCATTTTAAATCCTCAAGTGACTTTATTTCTCATGTCCTAAATTTACATTATCACCTCAATTTAATTGCATTATATAGAAGCTCACAAGGCAAACATTAAAGGTCAGCTTTCCGAAGAGAAGCAAACATTTTCTTTTTAAAAAAGGTTTTAGTCCAACAGATATTGATAATTTAAATGCTCTTCTACCATCAAAGTTTAAACATTATTTAAATAAAATCACAAATTAAAAAAGTATAGTAAATTACAGTTCTTTATTTGGGAAAAAAAACCCTGATGTATCAAATGTGCTCAGACCGGGTCAGCTCCAGACATTTTGGTTCGTTCCAAATTACAAGTAAGCATGATCTCAATATCGGAGGGCTTGTTAGCAGCAACGTGACCCCTCAGTCTGAAAAATGTAGGTGATATGGTTTGAAGAGAGGAAGAGGCAATGAAGCCCTGGCTAACGTTCCTCAATGCTAGCTTGATACTGTGCGCATAATAAGCCCAGGGTAGAACAGTTTAACATTTATAAGTTAAAATATGCAAAGATTAATGATTCCTCCTCTAAGTCCTGTGATGTTTTCAGGAATAGTTCTATCAAAGTTGGTACAAATGGAAAAAGAAGCCTTTACTACTTAGAATATGAGCTGCAATGTAACACAACAGGTCGACTCTGGAAGAAAACGTCAAAGATAAAACTGAAGCCAAGTTCAGTTTATCATATCCAACGTCATTCAAGTGAACCTTTGCATAAGTCGAGAGAAGCGGTCTGTTCACCTGATGTTATTGACATGGTATTTTTCCAAAAAACTGCAGCAGCGTGACATAGTTGGTAAATTACTTGCAACACACCCAATAGCCTCAATGAGCGCGGCTGGAAAGGTAAGGCGTGGCCTACAGTGAGGTGAGCCCCTGTCACTCAGAGCTGAGGTGGAACTAAGACAAGTTTAAAAGGTTAACTGTATTAAATGACAAAGAAAAACAAGATAAAACTGTAGGTGTTTTCACAGAGCAATGACGTAAGCCATGATACAAGAGCTTACAGGACCATCCAGTGTGTGCGGGACTGTAATCCCTTTAAAACTGACAGAGGTGGCAATCAGCGGTGAGTTAATACTAAGAGTCACATGATATTTACTGTCCTATTATTAAAAAATACTTGCCCTAAAACCTGGGTAAACTCACAGGTTAAGGTCGCTAAATTCAACAAGCGAGCATTATCCACCTTCGAATAGTCTTCCTTGTCTACCTACTTTTCAAAGTAAATAGATCTGTGATGAAGGATTTATGTACAAACCATTTTTCTACATTTGCGCCAGTGGATATTTAGCCATTAATTTGAAGGACTTGCCCATAGTGGAACCTAAACGCTTTTCCCCAACTTGCCTTAAGCTCTTTTACTATGACACCTAGCATTTCCAATGTATGCCAAACAAATTCCTTACCGCCGCTTATTCTTAAAGTTGTTTTGTTAATTTGATATTTATGCCATTTTACTGTTTGAGAGAAGAAAAACAATGAAATAAAACTGAATAAAAAGTTGCTTCACCTGGTAAGGATTAACTGGTTGCCAATTCCAGTGAAATTGCACATAAAGAAAAATGTCTACACATTTTTTATGTGAAGCTATTAAAGTGTTTTTGTTCTCTTTAACCTTAAACTTTTGATTTATAAATCACTTCAAAATTGTATAATAGTGTATTTTTCCCTAAAAATCTTCCAAATCAAATTCCGTACGTATCTAGACCATACAGAAACCTCATTTATTGCAGTGCTGTAATATTGTACTTAAACACTCCTGTAGTTAACACTTCGCACAACTTTGTTTCGTTAACAGGGCAACACTTATGCTATAATATTTCATAATGTTGGAGCATGAAGAGATAGGAATCATTTCTGAACTTCAATTATTTCAATTTATAATCATTATTTCCATGTAAATGCTTCTGTTCCTGCAGCCTACCCTTCTTGTTCTCAGAAGGATTTAGACTGGGAACTGTTATGGACTAGGAGCTTTGATTCTGCATCTGGTATCTAGCTATGCTCTGGTGAACTTACTGACTCACTTAAATGTGAAGTCCAAACTAGGTTTAAAATATCTTTGTAATTAAAAGAAACATGATGTCATGAATTTTAACAAGGTCCAGGGGCTCAGAAAGACAGCAGACCCACAGCATCACAGATCTTCTGTTATGCATGTTTAAGCCAGATAATGGCTGGTTTAATGCTGCTTCAGGACAGAAGCATTAAAAGCTTTGTCCTGAAGCTTTTAATGCTTCCAGCAGAGTGGCATCCTATGGTCAAGATGTCTACGGAACAACTTGTAGACATAGTGACTCCAGAATGCCTCTCTGTCCTACCGTTTTCTGTGAGCTTTGGAGAGGTATGTATCTGTATCGAGGAGAGATAAATATGGGTCCTATTTTAGTTTTATGGCTGAAAGAAATGGGCCTCTGTGTCAAGACATGTTAATACCAAAAAAGAAACAAAAAGTCACAGATATTCAAATATTAGATACTTATTTAGGGACTGTTAGGTGACAACTGTGCTGTTGGTGATCCCACTGTAATAAAATGAGTAAATTTCACAAAACAGGCTTTGAAGTGTTTATAGGTACTTCTAAAATATCTGAGTATTATGAACCTTTTAATATTTTTGTCAATCATGTCAAAGTGAGACTCATATATAGCCATTTGGCTCCACTGGAAGCAGCATTTAAAGTCAGAGTGGTTCACCTGGTGTGCTGCGGCTTTCATACAGTTAATCGACAACTCTAAGAAATAGGAGCATGGAATAAGAAAATAAATTACAAAAAAAAATATTGGAACTCACTTAGCAGCGATAAAACTTAAGAAAACAAGGTCATATTTTAAGGCCCACATTTGTGTGATCACTTTTGCTGTAAAGTTTTTGCTGCTGTAACACCACAATTTTCCCCAGTGTGGGACAATAAATGGATTTTCTATTCTATTCAATTCGATTCTGTTCTATGATTAGATAAAACTGCAGACACAGGCGATAGTAGTACTCGGAAAATAAACACTTTACTGGTGAATTGATCTATTTAACACCGACAAGAACAGAACTACAGCGCAATGATGGGAATCTGATGTGATCTGAATCGGACCGAGGCAAGTCGCTCTGCTCTGAAAACGGTTCTGGTGAAATATGGTGTCTGGTCAAAGCTGTGGGCACAAAGGCACCACTACCAGTGGAACCGAGGGGTTAGAGTGTTACACATGAAGAGAAACCTTGTCTTTAATTTCTTGTGACTCTTATCATGGCTTACAGACAATGAAAAGCAAAAAAACAGCCTGTTACAAAAATGGAATATTGTAAAAAAAACAACAACAAAAAAGTAGTATACACCTGGTAACTATTGGAAACTAGTGGTGTCACTCTTCCCTGCTAATTAACTAAAAAACACCTGTAAAGGTTTCCTGAGCCTCAGATTGTTCTCTCAGTTTGGGTCAGAAGGCCACACTATGAGGGAGAAGTTGGCTGACATGACATGTCAAGAAGACAGCTATTGATACCCTCAATCTACAGTTTTTCCTAACCTGTCCTGAAAAGTGAAAACCCAGTCCCTCCCCTGCATTGGCACAGCAGCTAGAACAGAGGTAAGAAAACAGTTTGGCCACCAACAGCCACACATGATTCATCTGAGCTCTGCAATCACAGAAGCTAAGGCTGTTTTTAAACTTTGACCTGCAGGCATAACTTTAAACCTCGTACAGTACGTCACTTTGCCTCAAAGAACTCTGGTTCCCAACAACAGGTTTTAACGTTTGCACTCTTCACGGTTGCCTTAAAGATGACCTTTCAATCATGATGATGCATGCTGCTACATTCCTATCGCTCCACTGTTACAGGTAGCTTTCACTTTGCGTCTGCTGTTAAATAATGTCTTTTAAGTCGCTTTAAGTCGCGTGTTGGTTTAAAGGAGCTCTGTAAATCTAAACTTGACAGGTTTCTTGCAGTCCCTGCCTTTCCCCATCTAACTCCACCATCATTGTTTCCACCTGGTCAAAGTAAACATTCGACACTTGTTCGCTGCGTTATTATCTCTTTGAGTTGAGATGAATGGTTTCTGAAGAACTGTGTGGGTGAAATCCTGCCTCATGGATATGAACAGCCAGACATCGACATGCCCTGACTTGTTCCTTGTTTGGTCTTTTCGTGGGAGTTGCAGAAAATAAAGTATACATTCTTTAGGGCTAGACCAGGCTACTAGGGTGTGTCTGTATCAATTTATAGGGCACACCTGTAGAAATTAAAATAATAAGAAGCAAAACAGTACAGACTTTTAATGCGTCATATGCATCATAGATCAATGAGATAGTTGTTTTTTCTCAAACTGAGGCAGTTTGGTGCCATTTTCCCACCTGGTTGATGGTCTTCTCCATCTGCACCAGCCCTAGGTTGGGCAGCGTGGTCTTTATAAAGTCTACTATGGATTCCAGGCTCTCATGCTGCAGGATCAGAGGCTTGTGGCTACCCAGCAGGCTCAAGGCAACTTTGAAGATGACCTCTGAACCCTGGAGGAACAACATATCTGACAAAGAGGGGAAAAATATGGTCAGAAGATGCTAAATGAGAAAGAGTAGTGAAAACGTACAACAGATGGAGACACCAGGGGGAAATGGTCGAGGCAAGTGAAGATTTTTTAGAATATATTTACATAAAGAAATGACTGGTACTGACAGGGAAGATTAGTGTTTAGCTTAAAGGCTTTTTCAAAAGAAAGGAATAATGATCTGACGTCAGTAGCATAAATGCAAGAGCAAACATAAATATATGTTAGGAGTGAATCCGGGGAGTTAACTGAGGGCGTGCTTTTGTTTTTTTGTTTTTCTTTGAATGCATCAGGGTGTGGTTCTGGGTTAGGCAGAAGTGCACAGGATCACGGATGAGAGTAAGGAATGGGAGCAGAGGTGCTGAGCCCATCATGCCAGATCAAACACGTGACGCCCTCATACTCCAGCAAGCACAAACACACACACTGAGTGTTCCACTCAGATGAGCACAAGGAGACAGCCAGTCTGGTTCAGCTGCAGAGCCCGATATAAGAAATTAGGCATGAAACCAATAGGAGAGAAGATAAGGCTTGAAAGACAGAGATACAAACCAAGTGTTTGTAAAAATGCTGACTCAAAGGATAAAAGGTCACTTCAAACGGAAACGTAACTGACAAATTCACCCTGAGGCTAAAATCTAAAAAAAAAAGCATAGATTCCATTTTTAAACAGGCAGTTCAGGAAAGTATCCTATAAAGTTTTGTGCATAAATGTAATATATAAGTTATATTTTCTGGGAATATCACAAGATGTAGCCAAACTAATTCTCCAGAAAATTCATTGTTAAACTAAGATCTGTCTCCAAAGGAATTAGTCAGGGAGTGGTAGTGGCGCAGGGCCTAAGCGTGTGACCAATGTACGGAGGCTTTAGTCCCTGATCCGGCTGTCACAGGTTGTCCCCCCCATAGTTTAATCCCAAATCCTGCATCTTTTAAAGCAGTAGAAAAAAAAGGACACTAATGCCTAAGAAATCCAGAAAAAATAAAATAGCTGACTCTTCAAGCTCTAGTTGACTTTAGACTTTGTCAGATAATTAAGCTTTTCATGAACCCCAACCTTGACGTTGTTTATCATTCATCTGCTTCAGACTTCCATTCTGTGTCTTTGTTCAAAGTACTGCATCGGTATCAAAGAGAAATCAAGTATTTTTTTAAATTAGAAAACAGGTCGTTCCTGAGTAGCCTAGAAGTGTTGACTAATCTGGGCTAGCTGAAACAGTTTCTGTTGCATAATGAAAAAATAAATTCACGTTAGGCATAGGCTATGCTCACACAGCAAATAAATGCGAGCAAAATAGAATCTTTTTGCAGAACTTCAGCCAATACGACCTTTTCACCACAGTCTAGGGCTGGGCAATGAACCGGATTTTTACCATTAACATCATTCACCACGATAACCGGCACCAATTTTCTCAAGTCGGTAAAATAAAATAATAAACCTAATTCTGCTGTTTTGCCCATGTGCCCTGGTGGTTGGTATTTCCTTCCCCTTTAAGACACTCAAGCATCTGTGTAATCAGTTGTCTCTACTGATCCAGTCAGAAGCATAAACAAAGAGAATAACCCCTGTGAAGAAGCGTCTAACACAGCCGTAAACGAAAATGCATCAATTAATCCTTTGGAGCTGTGTGGGAGCAGAGATGAAGCTGAGCGCGCAGAGAAGTCGAGAGCACGTTGTCAGAGTTGAGTGCGCGGAAGAACGGTTTTTAATGAAGGTGTGCGAGTCTAAACGATGAACATTGTTCTCAATGCAAGCTCAGTTCGGTGGCACCAATGTTACGGCATAGATGTTGAGAAAAAGAAACACGAAATGCAAAGTTTGCCTGAAAACTGTCGCGACTACCCAAAGTAAGACATCCAACCTGCACCACCTGCGGCACAACTACGCTGTTGAGTTCAAAGATTTGCAAAAGGCTCCATTACCTTTGCACAAAAATGTTTGCAAGAGAGGACACATTTTTCTCCTGTTCAATGAGACATTGTTGAATGTTTAAACCTGAATGGATACAAGACTTTAATGTTTAATTGAAATTAATATGTAATGTGATTTATTCAATAAAAAATTATAAATAGATCAGGTGCAATTCCTGCACATGCCTTTATCTCTGATAAAGGGGCTGGGGCATTTATCGTTATTGAGGTAAAACTGCCCAATTGATATTGATTTGAGATCATATCGCCCAGCCCTACAGCAGCCTTAACCTAATTTGATTCTTTCACTTAAAAAAAAAAACACAAAACAAAGAAGAATCTGCCATTTTTACATGCGGTTCTGAATCAGAGATCTATCCAATCAAAGGGCTCGCGTTCTGAAGGCCAGGTTGCACACGTCGACACAGACGTGGATAATAGTTGTTTTTCTTTTTATGAAAACAAGGAGAGCCCCCTCCTAATTCTTTTTTTTTAAACTCTGCTCATTACAATGTTGTCCGATATCACTTCCAGGAACAGGGTGCTAATGAGTGACGTCTACATTCTCTTGTGCGTGCAGCTCTCTGTGGCACTGTGACCTGTCAGACAGAAATCTGGCGGTGGTCACAGTTAGTTAATAAATAGATCAATGAAAAGCAGATTCAGCAAAAACTGGAAATGTGCAGCGAAACCTACTAGTTTTGAAATACAGAGATAGAAGATGGAGATAAACGATTGAAGTTTTTGTCAATTAGTCTGGACTGCGTTTGATCAAAATCTAATATCTGGACCTATCGTTTCATCCCTCATTTGAACATGTGGATTATCTCTATGATCAAACAACTATCGGTCCTGACAGGGAACTGAGGAGATAATTGTGTTTTGCAGTCTCTCTTCCCTGACATGGTTTCTACCTATGAGTAAAAGTGGCGGGGTTAGCTCAGACAGTTAGGCATTTGACCCAATTACAGAAAGACAACTGGTTGAAGCGTGTAAAGACGCTCTCAGACCTTACCGAAGACACGGGCCACAAAGCCGAGGGGGAAGTGTGATGCGAACAGAGTGAGGAACCATGGGGTGGCGTACAAGCTGGGGCCGATCTCCTGCTGCTCCAGGTGGCTGTGCAGATCCCTGTGGTAGTCATGGAGCAGCCGAGACAGCTGGTACATCTGAATCTGGACGGAGAAAAGGTGCCACAGGTGGAGGCATATGAAATCGCTAAACATGGATCACATGCTGAACTTTTACATCTTATTTTAAGAAACAAAGTTAGAAACAGTGCTGTATTATAACATTAAACTTTGAGTTATATTGTAATGATGGTTGTTATACAGACTATCATACAACTGACAGTAATTAAGCTAAATGGTTATTAAGGATAACATACTGTAGAAAGATTATCCACATAACAGTATATAATATAACCCAGTAATGATTATTTAAAGATATCACAACATGTCGCACCGAATCCATAATCTAAAATCACACTGCAACCCAGGGTAATATCAAAACTTTCTGGCACAAATCAACTACTGCCAAGTCCAAGAGAGGGGTGAAGACTACAGAGACAGCCAGGAGTACCTAGAAATAAACCTATTTCTCTTTTTTACTGCCTAAAGTCAATGGCTCCAATTCATATGTGTAATTATTGTTGTATTATTACAGCACGATGCAGTACCTAGCATATACAGCACAAGAAATGGTTTCACCAAACCCAAGAAAGCAAAACAGACAACAAAACCAGAGACATCAAAAAACGAGGTTAAACACTGACACTCAGCATCTGCCGGTGGAAGGAGCTAATGAAGGAGAAAGATTTTTAACGCTTAAGTTACCATGCAAGTCAACTGTACTGCCTAAATTAGCATAAGGCAAACTTTTTTTTATTCAGTTTAATCAGACAGTGTTGCTTGTTGCCATGAAAACCATGACAGTAGATCCTGTAAACATATACCAATCTTTTCGGAACAGAATTGTAGGTTTACGTGGTTTTAGTAGCTTTCAAAACCGTGGTGAACGCTGGCTTTTTGTGACAGTAAAGGCCAGCTTGAAGAGACTTCACATCGGCTTTCAGTCCACCTTCATTGTGACAACCGCAGCTACTGAAACCATATAAACATTCATTTTACTGCCATGTCTTTGTTGTTCCTTTTTTTCCTTTTGTTTAATGTTTTATTTTAGTTTGTAATACTGAGGCCATACTAAACGAAGGACAGGAGGACATTGTTATAGACGATACTTGTTTAAGGCAGTGACATGCAAGGGTTTAGTGTTTGGTTTGAGTGAACAACCCCATTTTACCGCAAGTGGTAAAACGGCCAGGGTCCGTAACACTAAGATAATATCAATTTAAAAAGTGAAATTATAAATATAGAGACTTTTTATTCAAAACATTTAACCTTGCCTGTATTTTTATAAGACTCAATGTACTATTAAAACCTCATCTCTGGTCTAAGCACATGAAGTGTTAAATTTGTCCCAAAGCCAATCATTACGTTCATACGGTTCCCTTCTTACTTTTTAAGCATAAAAAATTAGTATTTTACTACCATTGAAAGCAGGGACAAAAGTCACTGCACTCATAACGTATCACTTCCCCAACAAAGCAGAGCTCTGTACACTGATGATTTGATATTAAAAGAAAAGTCATGTAGAGACTTGCTCTGGACAGAGTAACTATATTCATCTTACCTGTAGGATAATCATATCCGGCCTGTACTGCTTACGCAGCCCCACATCAAACATCAGAAACTTGAGCATGTTGAATGCATCCTCTTCCCCCATGTGTAAAAGCAAGACTCCAGCAATGAAGGAAAGGCCCTGACAGTAGCCCACCTGCAACAACAAAATATGTGGTAAGTAGGAGATTTTACAGACAGACAGTAGAAGTGGAAAAACCATACCTCAGGGTCAAGCAGGGAGTAGGCTTTCAGTATATTGAACAGAGAGAGCTGCCCCGCTCCAAGCTGAGCTTGGAAATATGGATGAGTGGGAAAAGTACGACCTGCAGGAGAGAAGAAAAAACATTTAGCTTCTTTTAACCATAAATTAAATGCACGCAGTGGACTTTTTGAGCTAAAGCGTTGATGCATAAGAGTCATCTTAAATTATTCCTCAGGCCAATAGACAGCATTTGACACTATCGATATTGGAAGCGGTGCTTTCCTCTTAAAATATCGACTATGTAAGATGGGAGATGAAGGACTGTCATTGGCCAGGTCACGTGACCTAGAAGAACGTATTGCTTTATGGCCACAGGCTCTTATATCGTCATGGAGCTAAGGCTTTTTCTGCCTGCTCGTCTACTGGTAATGGCTGAGGCAAGGAAGAAGTTTAAACCTTCTGAGAAGGCCAAAAAGAGAAAATGTGAAAGGGATCATGCACGAGGAAAAACAAGAGCCGATCTTGGAAAGGAGTTTATTCATTGGCAGAGGCTGAAAGCAGAAGCAGATTCAAATCGATTGTCTTTTCTCAACTTTTTTATTAGAATGGTAAGCTAAAACTTTCCTTCTAGTATAGTCAAAATCTTTGTTATTATTTTTCGATTATGTCAGGATGCTGCAATGGATTCTTTGCTGGAGAAGTCTTTGTTTTTCTCCTGTTAGCCATTCGTGGAAGTTCGGCTCTGAATCCCACTTTGGAGCACCATCGGCGATTCACAGATCTCTGCCGGGTTGATCAACCTGTGGAGCGCTCAATTAGTACAACGCCCAGCTGACTGTTACTTGTGCCGCCAGCCCACAGACTGATTGGCTGAGCCCTGCCTAGCCCTCCACCGACCAGCCTCCCCCCACTTGGGAGCCAACCTGCTGCAAGCTCCTGCATTTCCCACGGACCTACAAAGCCCCGCTCACTCCCCCTGGTGGATCGTTCGGGTCTCCCGCAATAAGCCTTTTAGTGCGGTCACCCTGAAGAAACTCTGCGTGTAATCCTTTTTCTGCGCTACCTGTCTCCTCAGTGTGTTCTGCATGTGGATCGGAAAACAAGGGACCATGACAAATGTTTAGTAGAAGCAAAATACGGGCAGTTACAGGTCTAGCGCCCCTAGTGACTAAAAGTTACACAGTGTGCCTTTAACTAAAGTTCATCACTAAAGCATCATTAAAGCAGTAAAAGTGCTTGTTATCACTATCAATATAGATAAAACCTATTCAAAACTTTTTCCAGGTGTATGGAGCATAGAGCAATGCAGCCTAAATGCCGGGTTGAGTCCAACTTTTTAATCTCGGATGCGTTTTCTTTTTCCATGTCACACTGACTGCAATACTAATATAAAACTGTGTTTTCCTGGCCTGTCCCTCCCTGTTTGGTTTATTTCAAGGCTCAAAAAGGATCACTAATTTAATCTATCAATTTTATGGACTCCTATTCTAGATAAAGTATTCAGTTTATTGAATCTTTTTATTTATTGTTAATGTCCCAGTCTGCCCTGTCCGCGCTCTGTGAGATTTGAAAACATTCGAAACAGGGCAAACCCCTTTTCTCTTGCAATTCAGAAATGTTATCTCATATTTCCCCAAAAGAGAGTGTGTTTCATTTTACAACCGTGTCTCTCTTTCGGTCCGACTAAAATAGACCTGGGGTCTATCTTGGTCAGAGCTCCACTGTTGATTATTTTAGATCATAGTTAAATAATATGTATAATACAAAGAGAACCTGAGTAAATCCAAGAAGAAGCTTTTGAATCATAATATTAATTTAAGTGAAAAAAAAAGCAATCCAAACCAACCTGGACTTATGTAAAAACACTACATGAAATTATAAGGTACACTTATTGGGAATGAAGACTAACCCTTTCCCACTGGTCCAAAAACTAGTTTAAACCTGGGAACCATCAGCTTTTAATGGCAGTGGGAAGAGCTCACTAACAATTGTTTTACGACCCAGGTAAAACGACTTGGCAAGCAACACGGGTTAAAATCTTCAAAATGCTCGGCTCCAATCTGCATACAGTGGGAACATCAGACCCGTTTCTACTTGCTAATTTATGTGATACCAACGAAAGCAACGTATGTACGCCACCACACCAGTGTCTGATCCAACAAACATGGAGCGATAAACAGAATGTGAGAGAGGTTCGGACAGACAAAAGAACCAAACAGCAAAGCATGCTAACTACACCCCGGCTTCCTTCAGATGTTGCTCTCTATTGTTAATTTTCCTGGTTTCTGTCACACTGGTGACAACATCAATGCTAACCCAGTGTGATGGTGTCACCAGACACGCAGCAGTGAGGGGGACAGAGGCCACGCAGCTTAGCCAGTGCGGGGTTAGGCCCAGTTGTTTTTTTTCAATAGGAAGGAAGCCAAATGCCGATTGTTAGCGGCTCACCACGTGCTTGAAAAGCCTGCGTTAACTCGCCAATTTCAGTGGGAAAGAGGCTTGTGGTGTGTGAACAAAACAATGAGGACCCTGTGAGTTTCTATGTAAGGAATGTGCTTGGAGGGCTTTACATTTGTGAATGTAAAACTCTGACTCCTACGCCGAACCCAAAGAAAAGTATCTGCATCAGAGGTGTGGCAGGGCTCAAATTCACACACTGGCATTGTTCCCTGTAATAACAAGAGCTTCAACTTTTTTATAAATGTGAAGTGCTTCAACTGATACATCTCCCTTCCCGCTTGACACAATAAACAACATGCTCAATAAATACATCACTCCTTTTCAATAAGCCGTGTCAGCAGAGCGTCCCGCTCATTATAACTGATGCTGGGCCAGATAATTGACATGGGGTCAAAAACAAAAAAATGCAGGAGGTTAAGAGCAGCAGGGATTGACGCGTGGGTGGTACACATACACTATAGTATCTAGATATAAGCATGTGGGTGTTAGATGGGTGGGGTGTACGTATGTGTGGGTTTTTGGGTGGTAGGTGTTAGATTAAGTTTTTTTGTAACACTGAACTTAGCAAAAGCATATTCCAACACTTTCATCACTGAAAACATAAGAAATGTTGTAAAGCACAAACAAGGAGAAAACACATACAGTGTCCTGCAAATATGTCGACACTTCTGCTCATAGTTACAGACAAAAACTTCATTGTAATTAATGTGACACAATATTTAAAAATACCAGAAAAAAAGAATACATTTAAGTTAGAGGCGTTTCTAATACTTTTTTCTTCTGATATACATTCATATAAATAGATAGTTTCTATCTTAAATATATGTGACATATATGCAATCTCCTGAGTGAACTGCATGCGCAGTAGAGGATGCAATGGTGTCACAAGCAAGCATGCTCTGTCTTTATGGAAATAAATATTGATGGTAGTGCTGAAGCGCATCTAGCGTTCTTTCCCAACAATAAAAACTCAATCTTTTCAAGATGGTTAAAAAGAAAGACTGCTCTCCGCACTGTTGTCCGCCATGGTTGTTGGGTTTCTTCCCTTTGTTGAGTATTAATGACCTTCAGGTCAAATTAATGCGAAGTGGCTGTTCAGACACAGGTCACATTTAAAGTCGTAGGGAAAGGGCCATTCCAACCGTTGCATTTCTGTATTCTCCCAAGAGGTGCACAACTTTACAAGAGTGAATAAAGTGAATGTGATTGGTTGCTTTTTAAGAGGGCGGGATTGTTGTAGCAGAAGGTTCGTAAGCAAGTTTGTGGCCGGTTTGTGGGAAGCATCTTGCTAACCAGTTAGCAACTTAGTGCTAGTAGGTTCCCAACGGGAAATTACATTGGACTAGGTAGCCATAAATTGGTTTGAGTTTCCTCCATCATATATTTTTTAGCTAGAGGAGGAAATTAGGGAGGAAGATGTTGTGGAAGAGGACGCCATGGCAGCAGAAGCTTGGTTTGGTGTAGAAGGCTTACAGCCGTACATGTTTGAGCCCTTGCCTCACAACACTGCCAGTTTTGTTAGCTCTACGCCTGCTGAAGACACAGACGTCCATCCATGTGAACACTGGAACATAGCTAAATGGTAAAGTAAATGATTCTTATTTCTTATTTCAAACCATTGCGTATTTTAGCTGCGATATATGAATCAAGATTCTATGACTGAAAAAATTTGATGAACAGATGACCGTTGATATATGACTGGCCGAATTTAGGTGTACAAGCTGACGTATGACTAACTGGCCTGCATAAGACAACAAAAACAAAAACAGGATCCTTTTTTAAATACAAATGTTCTAAATTTTGGGACAATATAGTCTGATAAGGAGTACATTTTAGGGGTGGAACGGTTCACAAAATCCACGGTTCGGTTCGATTCACGGTTTCTGGTCACGGTTTTCGGTTCGATTCGATACATGTTGATTGTTACACCGAAATCCCATAAAAATTTATGAAATTAATGAAAAAATCCCCCAAAAAATAATGGATTGTATTTATTTTAAATGATCCGCAGAAATCCTGGATAATTTCCGTATGTTTTGCTGCTTTGAATTTAATAATCTGGCGTATGCTCTCTACCATCTCCAAGGGACTCAGAGGGGAGCAGACGAAGCCACAGTGGGGGCTGTAGGCTTTGCTTTGAGCAGCCGGTCTGGAGCGCAGCGGGGCGGAGCGGGGGTTGCTGACGGAGTATGAGGGATTTCGGGGTTAGCATGACATGTTGCTGTTAGCATAAACAAAACGTGTTGCACAATGCTTGCACACTGTTACACTTTTATCCACAACTTTCTTTCCGCTGTCATCGTAGGTCACTCTAAATGTTCTTTCCCACTCGCCAGTCCGACAATTCTCCACAACAACTGATTTTTTTCCCCTGCTACACCTGGCTAAGCTGCTTCTCTTCTTCTTCTTCTTGTTTACTACTGGCGGTTGGCTTTGGTTGCAGCACTGCCACCTTCTGCTCTGGAGTGTAATCGCTTCCTCTATGAGAAAAAAGAGCAGCGCATGAACCGAACGAAACACGCGAACCGAACCGAGACAGTCGAACCGAACGGTTCTGACGGTTTTCATAAATCGTCCCATCCCTAGTACATTTATATACATGTTTAAGCCAGAATGATTTTACATTTAAATATGATTTCCCTACGACTTATCTTGGATTCAGGACCACATAGCCAAGTGGCCAGGTTGCATTGGAAGAAATCGGATCTGCGTTGTTCAGACTGCCATGAAAAGGTCAGATACAGGTTGCATATGGGCCAAAAAAAATTTGGATTTGGGTCACTTCCCGCTGCAGTGTCAATGTAAACTATGATTCCTTTAAAGTTTAAATGTAGATGTATACCTTTTTTGCATATCTTTATATTGTACTTAAACAAATACATCCACACTGCACAATTGCATGTAATATGTGTAAAGTCAAAAAGGGAAAACTGCATGCAGCAGAAACGGTACATGCAAAGGGCAATAAAATGCAAAGTATGCATTTAAACATGTGAAATACATGTTTTACAGCCCACACTTAGAGCTCAGGTCCTAAGATGAGGAAAGAGGTGTCAGTTTATTTTGACAGTTTAATAATACGCTTTGAGATCAGAAAGTGTCCTTAGTCAATTGCATCCCTAAGATTTATGGAGCCATACATATACACACACACACACACACACACACAGCTGTATATATATATGACAGAAATTAGTGTATTACCTAGGTCTATGAGGATGGCATGCTGCTGAGAGGTGAGCTGCTTTAGCAGCTCTTTGTATGGAGTATGATTTGAGGGGGGGCGAGAGGGAACCGTCTGCCGGAGCAGGTACTGCTCAGAGAGGAACTTCCAGATCTCCCCTCGATGCTGCCTTGGGACACCTGTGTGGAAGATGCACAAAAGCAACAGGTAGATAAGGAACAAAGATGTCTTGAAAATACGCTAATGAGATAGAGATATAACATCAGACTATAAAATGTGTGGACTTGACATGACTGTTATTAGATTTCATAAGATCTAAACCCCAATTTATGCTACTAGTGGTCTGGAGGAGCTCAGAGAACCATGCATGTTACACAACAAAAGCCACTGATAAAGGATGAAGACAGACCAAAATGATTGGATCCACACGCCAGTCATAATATAGATATGAGTCAATATCATAATATAGATATTAGAAATTGGATTCATACAGTTACTTTCATAATTTTTATACACTGAGAAAAAGGAAACCTGTTCTCCTATTTAAAAGTTTTAATAAAATGAGTAGTTATCCTGACTCTTTATGGTGCAGAAAACTGCTATGCACTGAAACTCCGAATCTAAAGTGAGTCAAATGAGTTTCAAGGAGAAAAGAAACTGGCTAAACACATCCCTTATATCATACCTTTGGACAATATTTGCAGATGCTGGCTGATTATAGGTTAAACAGTCCCATGAAACACACTGTATGCATCTATCAGAGGAAGTAAATGAGTACCTTGTGCAACTGCAGCATGGATAGTCTCTGTGTCAAACTTGACTTTTGTTCTACCAGGTGTACTCAGGAGTTTCTCCCACACCACAGTGACATCCTTCAGACATGGAGTGATTTCTTCATAGTCCAGCTTCAGGCGCTTGTTCTGCAGGTCGCTCTCTGAAGCTGTGGCACAAACACAGGGATGATAAATGTGAAGGTGGGTTTTTATTCATAGCAATTAGTTTCCAGTCAATTACTTGGGATGATATGATCATTTCAACCTGTTAAGGCTGAGGAGCCTCATTTAGGAAATCTATAATAAGATCATCAAGTAGCTGGGAAAGGACTGATCAGATCAGTAACCAGGTCAGAGTTTATGGAGGAGAAAAAGAAAAATTATTCTTCTGAGAAGAGAATTGGTTTAAGATTCTCATGTTGATGTCCCACAAAATCCTTACATAAAACATTCTTAAATGAAAAAAAAGTTAAATTTTAGACTTTTCTTTACCTTTCCTATTTAAAAACATTGCTTTCCTTTGATTCAGAAATGGAACAAACCCAAGTCTCTAATTCTGGCTAGTCATTAGTTACTACAAGGACTTTATTTCTAATACAGACCTTTTTTTTCTTTAAACAGACATCTTTCCAGTCTCTATGATCAACAGATATATCACCCTGTGGTAGCAAAGTGCTTGTTAAAACTATCCTGATCCATGGAGAAAACCAGTTGTTTAGCGAAATGTTTGTTAAATTTAGTCAGCTGGAAGGTTTTCAGACTCATGAAGTTCTGAAGAGATCTTGGACTGTGGCCAAAAGAGGGAAACTTTTTTTCTTTCAGCTCAGCATTATATAATATAAAGGTGTCGTACAGTCGTACAGTAAAGTACAATGAACTGTCAGGAAGCGGATCAGAGAGACTGTTGTTAGTAAAGATTTTCAGTCATCCAGGTTAGTCATTCAAAAAAAGTAAAAAAAAAAAAAAAAACTATCCCCTGGACTTGGTTTCCAAGTTTGATGACGTTTAGCTTCCTATCCAAGAAGCTTTTTCAATTAAAAATGTCAGAAATAGCGTTGAGTTCAAGGCTTTATAGAGTGGACCAAAAACTAAGCCTTGCTTTGGCTTAGAAACATGCAAATTTAACCTGATGAGCGGGTCTGCCACTTAGGAAAGTCCGATGTCCCGATGAGGTTGCTCTTCTGTGGAGAGGTTGTTTGGTATCTCCAATATAAAGATCAGAGCATTCCACACTACATTGAACTGCATACACCACTCCGCTCATGTTTGGTCTGTGGGTGTAGTGCTTAGGATGCACTAGTCTCTGTTTAAGGGTCTTGTTAGGTTTGAAATGTTCTGGGATATTGTGTTTGGAGATAAACCTCTTGAGTTTTTTTCAAGAACTCCAGCAACATATTGAATGGCGACGTTTTTGCATTTAATCTTCTCACCGTTACGTTCTTCTGCGTGTCTTTTGGAGGGACTGTTGTCCTTGTGCCTCCAATTCAGAACACAGAGACCAGTCTTTGGTACTCAGCTGGAGCTTCTCATATAACTACCATGTTTTGGGCAAAAACATGCTGTACCCTGCATTTTTAAAAACTAATGAAATAACTGTGTTTGCACACATAACTGTGTATGCTTTACATCTTCATATCTAAGAAGGTTATTTTCATACATTCCTTCACATGAATAGAATTTAAAATATAGTAATAACTTATATGCAAACTCTACAAAGGAATACGATACCTTGCATATCTGTGAAACCCTAAGAGTATAATGTTAATCTTTTCGAGTGGGGTTATATAGCGTCTACATCTAGGTGCTGGGTGAAACTCTTCTGCATGGTGTAACCAAGCCCAAAAGTGTCATATTGACGGAAGAAAAAACACACAAAACTGTGATTTCTGTTAACATTTTCACAACCCTGATCAAAGGTGAGGAAACACCCAACGCCTCCCTGCTGTTCCTCTCTTTTCTGACCGCACCCTTCCTCTCTGCCTCTCCATTCTCTTCACAATATATCTTCTTTGCTTCTGTTTTTTTTTTTTTTTTTTTCAGGGAGTGGGACTTGCCCCGCTCTTCGTGCTCCGTTAGTCCCACTTCTGCATGAGCCAATCTCCGATTCCTTCCCCTTTTCAGTCATGGATATCGTTGGGGTTCACCTGTTGGCTAGTTTTGATTGGGCTGGGGATCCAGGGATACAGTGACGGTCGAAGATGCTGGATCACAATGTTTTTTCATAATTAAATGGAAGCTATCAAAGGCCTTTACTAAAGTCACAAATCTACTGGCAATCTAAACTACACCAAAGCCATTTCAGTAGGATGTTTTCCACCAAAAAAATACATACTGACTATAATAAACAATGGATTCTGTTTAAAAAAAAAATTCTACTGTTGTGGAGATCTTTAACATTTTTCAAATCCAAATTTCAGACATCTTCAGACTGGAGACAGCAGAAACCATACCTTATTTTTACGTCTTAGTGATGCCAATAGCTTTAACTGACATCAGACAAGAAATAGGTAGGAGGGAAAAATGGCCCAAAAAATAACATCAAAAAAGCTAAGAAGTAAAAATAAGGATAGGCTGGAAAATAATTCCAGATTAATGTATATGAAAATGTTTTTTTATTCAATAAAGTGAAATGACATTTGGGATATTTTAATATATGCTACAGTCTTTGATTATGGCGTTTGCCACCAACTGACAGTCCAGGTATCATGTTTAGGTGTAGTACAGTTTTAGGCTTTTTAAAAGCACATATTTACATTGGTTATCTTACTGTTTTGTATCATAAACTTGTACAAATATCTGTTGTCATATTTCTTCGTAGTCTTTCTGAGGCTTTTATTTTCTTTATAATGACATCGTCATTGTATCTTTTCGACTGAAATAATGAAATATATTTTATTATAGTAAAAGGTCTGGCCATATTGTCCAGACCTTGGATAAACAAAAATATGAGACGCAAGGGCCCCTTTTTATTGAAAGTCCTGGGATTTGTATGACCCAGCGAAATCATCAGAGTGCTGTTTTCATTACCCTTAAAGCCCCAGAACAATCAGCCTGAAATTGCACTACACCTTCAGTCCAACGGGTGGCGGTAATAAGAACACACTACTGGTTTTCCCTTTATTTCCACTGCCTTCTGGCTCTAAGTTACTCCCTATGCATAAAATGTTTAACTATTTAACATCTCTTGATCAACCTGCATCAGACCAGAGTTGTTGCTTTTTGTTTCATGATTAATTACAACATCTATTTAAGACTGATTAACAAAGTTACATTATTATAAAAAAAACAGGTAAATCTCACCTTTACAGCACAAACGCACCGTTTTAGTTAAGAAATCAATACCTTCATTTTATAATTATAATCATATATTCACAGCAAGCAGAAAGAAATCTCTAGAAAGTGAAGGACAGCATCCAACAAGTGATCTCCCTTCTTCCATCTTTGTTGGCATAAAACTATGAGTAGAAATGTATATGGGCTAAAACAATTAATCAGATTAATGGTGATCAATCAATTATTAAAATAATCTTGAGCTATTTTAGTAATCGATTGTTGACTGGAGTACAGGGACTCATAAACATGCCATTAGCTGACAGAGCAATCCGCTCTAACCCAAAATTGTAAAAGAAGAAATGTTGCACTTAAGAAAGATAAAACTTTGTCAATATGTTCTATCCGGAACTCCTGAAGTGGAAAAAGATAGTTTCACCTGGTTCAGTTTCAAAAGTATTCTTTATTGAACATTTTGCTATCCGATTATTAATAATTTAATTCGATTAACAGATTAAACAATTTGCAAAATAATCATTAGTTGCAGCCCTGTTATATATAAGCACAAAAGTAATGTTTACATTAAAAGTCAAAGGAGAACGTATATTTCTAGTACAAGACAAATTGAAAGAGCTCTGTCTTATCTTCACTCCATTTGAAATTAGCAAGAATTTGCAAAAAATAATCCCTGCATTACCTAAAATGTTCAAACTTTCTGACAAAATAGATGCAGTTTTAAGGAGTACCTCTTCACTTAAACAAATCTTAAAACTAGGTTTAGAGTCCCACTAAAAACCCAGGCTAAAGTCCTGAACATATTGAATCTGATTTTGCATCTGATCTGACAGACAGACAGAGGTTGTGGCGTATAGAACTCATTGAGATCTGTTGGCGATGAACAAACCAAACCAAAACCAAATATGATTTTCTGCAGGGATGTATTGAGATAGAACCCAGTTCTAGTTTAGTCAGACTACGCAGAAATTCAGTGGCAATTTCATAGGTCTGACAGGAAGAGAGACATAATGATTACAAAGAAAAACACATCTGCTTTGGGGTGAAAAAAATATACAAAATAAAATTGCCAATGAAAATCTGAGATCTAATTTCTCACTTTAAAGCATCTTAAAACCTATTATGGATAAACTAAAAGGTATAATAACATAATTGTGGTCTCACTTTCCTTGGTTACTGCTACTGCTGGTGGAACAAGGCACAGCAGCTATACATGAACCACACCTCAACAGGCTCCACAAAGGTTAGGAAGAACTGTGTCTTTAGTGGAACTAAAGCAATGTGACAGTAAAGCCCCAGGAAGGTGAAATTATGCCGGTGAATACGTATGAAAATGCTAACCAGGCTTTGAATGGCAATGAAAAAGGGGCTAAGGACAGACGAAAAGAACACAAGCAAAGAAAGAAGCAAAAACATGGGGAAGGAAAGAAAGGTGACATGAAGAAATGGAGGGAATTAAAAAGGAAAGAATGTAAGAGAGAAAAGTGGAAGGAAGGAATGAAAAGGAGGGATCTGCTGAATAAATGTTCAAGGAAAAAGGGATGTTTTCTGTAAGGAAGGGATGAAAGAAGGACCCACTTCCCACAAAGTTGGGAAGGCAGTGTAAAAATATAAAGATTTTTTTTTTTTGAAGACTGGGAAGATACTCAAATTAAATTCCTTGCTCTCTGACTCTGCGAAGGAACCCTGTTATAGAGAGGAAAATGTGCATCCAAAGACAGATGACTAATGGGAATAACCTGGAAAGCAAGGTTGATGATAAAAAAAAAAGAAAATTTCTAAGGAGCTGGCTACTGACACACCCAGAGAAAGCTGTGACCACGCTGCTCGTCTTATCTGCCTGGAGCAAGCAGAATCAAGTCCATCAAGAATTGCTTGTTGGCAGCTGCCCAGCTGGCATGCAGCATCTCCACCTTTCAGTCTCTCCTAACCTTCTCTCTCTCTCTCTCTGCTTTGCCTTTGATAACACAAACAAAACAGGATACTCCACCCAGAAGCAGAAAAAGATCCACACATCATGACGGTAAATGCACACAAGCGCTTTCAAAGCTGACCTAGAAAATGGGCAGAGATCGAAGAAACAAACTTAGCTGAACTCAGACAAGCAGGCACAACAAGGACACAAAGGAGCTCCAAAATAAAAGAAGCCAGGAAGACACAATATGCTAAAAAGTGTGACTGGGAGCATGAAAGACTGAAAAAAAAAAATATATAGGTTTTTATTTTTTGAGCCGCAAACATCTCTGACCCCACCCAGCAGTGGAGATGTTTTTTTCTATTTGTGCCATGGGTGTGTATCAATTAAGGGTTTACAAGTTAGACGGTAGTTATTACAATGAAAAAAAAGAGCTACCTGAAGTGTAGCTACGTGCCAATTGGGTCATCAAAGAGGTGAGGGCACTCGGCACACCCTAAAACTACACCTTAGTAAATGCATGCACCATACACAAAAATAGGCATACTTTAGAAATGTGAAGTATAGAAACTCGGCGCATGCATATGTGCAAGTCAGACAGAACAACTGGTTCTGCCATTCAGCTGTAACAATAACGCAGCTGTCATGAAGACTATTTGGACTGGCTTAACAAGACACTGATAGAAATAGAAAATAACTAAATTACTGGCACCTTAAAGCCTTTGCTATTGTAAAAAAGCTTTTCATGTTAAAATACATTTTGATTTTAAGGATGCCGGCTGACTTTAAAGTATTCAAATATTTCTATGAACTGTTATATAGACAAGAGTAGCGCTTAAATTTCCCCCCACACCTTTCTGCCGTGAGTAGTCATCATTATCTATATCAGGAGCAGAGGTGATGTCACTTTCTTGGGTGTGGTCGCAGTAAAACACAAGTTCCACTAACAAAAACAACTGCAGAGCTGACGTAGAGGAGGTGAAACCTTCATCATGATGTCTTGTGAGATTTATTCCGATAATGATGTTAAAAGGTATTAGAAAATCCTTTGTAGTTTATTTGGCAATAGGTAGCATGGGGCGGCACTTCATTTCCCCCCAAAATAGAAATATCCTCACCCCATCTTCTGGACTATTCATTTCATCACTTAACAGTCCAAAATGGTTGCATTTCATTCTATTTAGAGAGAATTTTGATTTATTGCTGCGTTCAAACAGTGAAAAATGATGAAAAGGTGAAACCAAAAAAAGATATCCTTAGTTTTTAAGATGATGCAAACACAGTAATGAGTTCATCTTTTGACAACATAAAAATTCTCACAATATAAATTGTACAATAAGCATCCATACGGGCTGCTCAGTGGCGCAGTGGGTAGCACTGCTGCCTTGCAGCAAGAAGGTTCTGTGTTTGATTTCCGGCCCGGGTTCTTTCTGCATGGAGTTTGCAGGTTCTCCCTGAGCATGCGTGGGTTCTCTCCGGGTACTTCGGCTTCCTCCCACAGTCCAAAAACATGAATGTTAGGTTAATTGGATTCTCTAGATTCTCCTTAGGTGTGAGTGTGTGTGTGAATGTTTCTATGTCGTGTGTGTCTCTGTGTTGCCCTGTGATGGACTGGCGACCTGTCCAGGGTGTACCCCGCCTCTCGCCCATTGACAGCTGGAGATAGGCACCAGCAACCCTCACGACACTAATTGGGACAAGCGTGTCAGATAATGGATGGATAAGCATCCATACCTAGTAACTGCTTTCAACTAGTTTCCCTTTTTTATTAGCAAATAGCCAAGCTAGCACTGGAGTTTGTTATACTCCTGTTATGCATCGGTAGTTTTGGTTCCCCTAAAAGAATCAGTTATCTCTAAATAACAGTTGTCTATTCCCTTACTTCCTCATGAAAAGCTTGAACATTTTATTCTGCAGTCAGTACCACCTGAAAACCGCTTAATCTGGTGTGTTCACAGGTTAAAAACCCTTCAGGTTTTTTGGGTTTCTGGCCAATTAAATTAGGGCTGAGTCTGAATCTACTGATACCAGTCAACAGACCATTTCTCTATGCATATGCTTTTTATCTTTATAGTAGGTTTTTCTGGTCTGCCGCATTGTTAAGCTGTGAGACCATCTTGAAGAGAAGCACCTGCTGAGCTGCTGCTGTCAACAACTTGTTATAGATAAAAGTATTGGGCCTGTTGTTCAGTGATTAGTCCCGTTTCTCTTTTCCTGTTAAATGGGAGTTTTTCCTCTCCACTATCGTTGCATGCATGCTTGGTGTAGGGGACAATGCAATCTCAATGGTGTTTTCTGCACATTTATGAGCTAAACATCAAATCATTTTTTGTTTAATAAGAAAATGCAGAACATGCAGGTTACATATAGCTTATTCATTCTTCCATCTTACCTTGCAGCTTCTGGTTTTCACTCTCCATTCGCTGCAGCAGAATCTGCTGCAGGATAGCCTTCCTCCACAGCTCCCTCAGCTCCTCTTTGCTTCTCTTCGTCCCTTCCTTTTGCACCACTCTCATGGACAAGTCTCCGGTGCCCGCCGCTGACACCTGGCCCACACCTATCAGACCCCCATCTAGACAAGGATCCCCCCGATCTGAAATATGGAAAAAGCATAAAATTATAGACTGAATTTGAGATTCTAAAAACATTGCAGTGCAGTTTAAATCATCCAACAAATGCAGCCTGGTAAGGCAAATATCCAAGACATCTGGTAGCCTTCACGACTGCCTGGATTGTGCTTAAAGTTCTTATACTGTTTTTAGTTTCCGTCTGGGATTCGGGGAATTCATTTTCTTTCGGTCCTTTCAGACATTTGAAAAATATCTTTAACTTATGAAACTTTGCACTCTTAGGTTGGACCTCCACCAACCAGAGACACCAGAGACCTCCAACAAAATGAAAATGGTGGGAGGAATCAGAGCTTTGGAGAATAAATTTTGAAGCTAAAATATAACCTATATGCATGGCTACTTATTTAAATCCACATCTGTCTATTTACCAATGATCCTGTGTATATTACAGACCTGTACTCTGTAGGTATTTTATTATAAAAAAAGAAAATCTATGCATTTTGTGGCATAAGAAAACAGATTTTGATTAGAATCTTTTTAAATCAGAGGACAACCAGAAAGAAAATATTTATATGTAGAATATATAAACTGAGATCTGGATGGAGCATAAATATAATTAACAGACTAGAGGATCTTAAAAGAAGAGCTTCTTCTGACCCAGGCTAAAATTGGGGTGAATCTAAACTCTTAAAATGGCCTGTCTTGTTTAGACAAGATACATACCAACTTTCCAGATAACATTCAGTTTTAGTTCTTTGGAAAATCATGACAGCTTGATCATCTTGGCAATCACACGCAATTGCATATTTCTCAGTTGCAGTCAGATATGCAAAATAAAAAAAGTCCATGTACAAAAATGCAAGGCAGCTTTTTTTTAAAGAACAAAAAAACAACAACATTGAAATCCTCATACCCCGCTTGATGCCAAGGCATAAATGATTACAACTGTGTACTTTATGACAGGTTTAAAAATGAATGCTAAATATATTTCTGTCTGAGTCAGACAGTTTCTCAAACATGCTGAAACCAGCAGTCACTGTAAAAAAAATACAGCTCTGCAGGTACAAAAAAAGTGCGGACTGACTCAAGGCTGATGCAGACAATCACAAGAGTTTAGGTAAAAGCTTCTAAAATCCCTTGAAAGATACAGAGCTTTGCAAACACAGACAGCTACACTGATCCAACAGAACTCCTTTGAGGAGTGAAAAAAAAACCCAAACAACCTTTTTTCAATTGGAGGCCAATCTACATTAAGAATTTTATTTGTGTTTTGCTTATGATAATTCACCGTTTTATTGCTGAAGGGCTGAATATACCACAAAAAGATCTCTCAACCATTAATTTCTGCAAAGTGGAGCAGAGACCATTTGCTGGGCAAACACCTTTACCCGAACTTTGTTTAACACACACAGAACAGGCAAAGTGGGTCAACAAGATCAGTGCTTTGCTCTGGCGCTGTCTGTGTGTGGACTGTCAACATGACCTTGAAGTACCACCATTCCCTGCCAACATGCACTCTCTGGAAACACCCATAAGCTCGTGCGTGAGTGAGTGCACAGGAAAACATACCCACCCCAACCAAAACCTAAATGCTGCATTCAGCCAGTCTTTGCAGTGACCTGCTCTGTTTTTCCTCTACTTGATAGTGCTTGGCTTAAAACTTGACATTTGGCTGAGATCTTTTCATTTCTGCAGACAGATGATTCTTCTGCTCTTTACTAGTTTCATTAAAGGAGGGAAAGCTTACTTTGCTAACCCCCCCACCCCCTACCCCCCAAAAAAGAAAAGAAAAAAAACTTACTTTAGTCTATCTTGAACCCCTGCTATCTGCCTGAAGCTTTTTCTTTCTTTGAGTTTTCTCTAATAAATTGGGGAAAGTTAGACTACTATTTTTATTTACTGATGGTGGTCAGAGGGCCCGGTGGCGCCAGTGTACGGCAGCCCCGCTTCTGTCAGTGAGCCCCAGGGCAGCTGTGGCTACAATGTAGCTTGCCACCATCAGTGTGTGAGTGTGTGCGTGAATGGGTGAATGAATGTAGTGTAAAGCGTTTTGGTCAGGTCTCCTGACTTGAATAAAGGCGCTATATAAGTACATGCCATTTACCATTTACCATTTTTTTATTTGCTACATTATAAAGGCTTAACCTTTCAGTGTTTGCATGATATTGGCCAAGTCCAGAACATTACAATCTGTATGATTTTACGATGCACAGAAATACGTTTTTTTTTTTTTTTGATTGATCAACTATGGAAACACAAAAATTCAATCTTTTTCTGATCAATGAACTAAGCATGTATAAAGGCTAACAGCTCAGGTTAGCACTAGTTGCTGAAGTGAAATCGTGGAAAGAAAACTTAAAGTATTTTCAGTCTCTATCTAAGCTAACAGTCCCACAGTAAAGATGCAGAATACTGCAAGGAGTTGAGCAAGACAAAAAAAAATTAAAAATCCGGTTCATTTGATCCCAGACAGCCATGGCTCCATCAAGATGTGCATGATGCCACACAATACCAGCCCTTCTTGTTTTCATATCTTAAATGCTTGGGCTTTAGTTGTAGTTACAGTGACTGTTTGTAAAAACACAACTAAAGTGATAAGAATTTTTTTTTTTTTAATCTTCAATAAAACAAAACAAAACAAAACAAAAAAAGTCTGGGAATCCTATTATTTTTATAGACAGGTCCCCTTTTCTATAATTAACCTTTAACTCCATTTTTCCAGACTGTAGGGCTCTTGATGTAAAACATGGGACATGAATTTATCAACTGGTTGAGCTGCCAAAATGTATTCATTTCTTTCTCTTTTTTTTTTGCAGAAACTATACAATACATTACAATAATAAATAGTCAGGGTTTAATAACATGGAAGCTAAAACATGGAAACATTTTTGTGTTTCCACACTACAAGGCTGAACTGCATAACTTTTATTAAAAGCAAATACAGTGACAGGTGACGGATGGTTACAAAGCTGTCAAAGGTTAAGTTCAAGTCTTTAAGGCACTTCTCTTCTTGTATATTTCAGTCAGACAGAATATTTGACAGCGTTGTCAAACCTCAGGCTACTTTAACGCTGTCCTGTCAAAGTGTTTTTTTCTTGAAATCAAACAAATACTTTTGATGTACAATTTTATTTGCAAAAGAGGAGGAAAAAAAACAGGATCGGGTTATATGGGTTTGTTTAAAAACACGTGTGCATCCCTGCAGGAAGGCACATGTTTTATTCTGCTAATCCTGAGATTCATATAAATCCTTAAAACATTAAGCATAAGCTGCTGGTTTGGTCTCAGCTTTATCCACTCTTAGAAAAGCTTTCCTATAAAATGCTTGATTTATTAACATTTAATATTAGTCAGATTATTGTTAGTTGAAATTTTCCAAATGGAATATTAAGGGAACAAAATAGTTGAACCAGCATTACTTTATGAAATATTTATTAGAAAAATACAATTATGGTATATTTTAGATTCTCGGTTACAATCAGCTCTGATGGCTGAGGTCATTTAAATACAAATTTAATTAAAAGTTTTGGGGATTTTTTTACTTATACCAAATTTTTACTCCCATTGCTTCAACTCAATAACTATCAACATTTTTGAAACTGTGTGAAATACAGCTTTTGGATGCATTTTAGTTTTATAAGTACTGATTAAAATGTTCTGACTATTTACAGGGGCAGAAAAAACATAAAGTTTGAGCATCACTTTTATGGTAACTGCAGCATATATCACAGAATAATTAATCATGAGTTTGTTTCTATGCCAAAGTCATAAAAGGGGAGGACAATATACCTGTAAGCTGAGAATAAATCATGAGTTGTGTAATTTTACTGCTTTGGGATGTTGAAACTTTGCAGTTTCTGGTTGTTTTGTAACTAAGAAGGGTCAGAGGGGGGCGATCTTTACCTGTTTTATAAACTGAGGATTTAAATAAACCTATTATTGTTTGCCTATAGTTTATAAATAATAAAAGTAAAACACCCTGAGTTATTCTGGTTTTATTAAAGCTCTTAGTTCTTAGGCTGCAACAACTGTTTTAGTAGCCGTGTATAAAATCTATTATTATTATCGTTTAAGTAAATGCCTTAACATTTGGTGCATTTTGCAGATTTTTCATTTAACTACTTAAGCTTATTTCATGTCTAATAGGAACATATATTAAAAAAAAACAGCAAGTAAACATTTAATTCAGTTCCATTAAAAAAACAACAACTTTTTTTGCTTACAACACAGTAAAGTTGCACATCTTCTGAACACTTAACCCTTTAAAGCCCGATCCAAGAACAAAACAGAAAATTACTTTTTTTTGGTTTGAAGTCCTTATTTGGCGTTTTAACAAAATATGTAAAAAGAAAAAACAGAAATAAATTTTTGATATTAATAATTTATCACTATGCGATAAGTCAAGATTATTTTTTGTGTAGTCTTCTACTGGCTGTTATCAGGTATATCTGATTGTGTACAATAGGATTTTGAGCAAAGTTTTTACCATTAAATTATGCAAAAGGTGTCAGATGCAAAACATTTCAGAAACCGTATGTATCAAATATGATACATTTGGCATTACAGGGTTAACATTTGTAGCATATGATGCATCTGCAGCTAGAATAAACATATAGAAAAAATATGAAGCAGACTGGTCTAAAGAGGGATCAGAACCCCGAATGGCAATAAGAAAGAAAAATGTTTCTAGAAAACAAAATCTGCATTTAAATGTAACTTGATGTAAAACAATACTTTTTTTAAATGATTATTTATCTCCTCCTTTCAAATGCTTCAACCTAGTGAGAATCAACCTAGTAAGCAATGCATGACAACAGCCATGGTTTTTTGTTTCTTTCGATCCTGGGATGAAATGTAAATAGGAAGAAAAAGAAGCACATAGACACGCTAACCCAGGAGCCCATAAACTACATTTTTGCAAACATAAAACAAATATTTAAGATCTCATGGAAGATTTTGGGTATAACAGAAGATATAAAAAGAGTTAAACAAAAAAAGGATTCAGCTTTTCCATTAAGAAAAGAATCTGGGGAAAAAAATAAAAAAAACTTACCGTATCTGAATTGTTCTGAATTCAAACAAAAGGGCGACACAGAGTGGAAAGTTTGGTCACTGCAGTCTACGTATTACATTACTCCTACAGTCTGACTAACATCTTTAGATTCTATACAACTGATACACCAAGTAAAGCATAAAGAAATACTAAGCTACTGCAAAAAAGAGGAACTCTATAAAGCATTGTTTGTACCTACCGCCTGTGTCTTTCTGAGGTGTTGCAACCCGCAGGAAGATCTGCTGCCTCCACGAGTGCCGGTGGCTTCGCATTGGACTCTCTCCAGCTACACATCCTGCTCTCGGTGTACAGAGAGCTGCTACATCCCTGAAAAGTACAAACAAATGAAGGTGGCTGCAGGTGGAGTCGTAAGCTATCTCCATGTAAAACAGAAACAATATATATGGCTCACACATAAACCCATAAACCTGATATACAAACAAAGGGATTCACACAGCACTAGGCCCAACCTGATAGGCATGATGGTTCTGTGTATATGTGTACCTGCTTTTTGGGTCGGCACTATCATTCTCTTGAACAGGAGCCAGAAATTGAAATTTCAGAAAGTTAGGGACAGAGGAGGAGGAGTGGAGACGGGCCCGGAGCCCACCCAAAGGACTGAGATGGAGGTGATGGATGTGAACAGGAAGCAAAAACACAGATGAGAAAAAGAAAAACATGGACTCACATCAAACAAAAACATGCTGCTGGGAATTATCGAAAGACTTTAAAGACTGCCAATGAATTGATGCAGCTTGGTTACACTGAAAGCCAAACGCTCACCTTCTCTTGTTGAAACGTGCTCCAGCAGAAGGTGAGGAAGGACGGCGGAGGAGAGGAGAAGGGAATGAAGGAAAGGGAGGAAGAGGAGGAAGGATGGAGTCTGTCGTGACATTTCTGAAAGCCGGCGCAAATGAAGGCGGGAGTGAAACAGAAGAGAGTCACAGACTTTGAGTTTGTATGAAAAGTGAGAAAAAGTCAAAGTTAAAAGCAGAATTAGAGGAACTTTGACATCATATGATGAGATTTCAAAACTTTTCCTACTATTTAAGTTACTTTATAGATATGAAAAAGGAAAGAAACAAGTATTTATTACTTTTATGTTATATAGAACTTTCCATATCAACCAGCATTTAGTCCGAACAGGACATAAAATATTTCACTCAGGTAGTAGTAGTAGTAAAGATAAATACTATAAATCTATTTGAAAAATATTCCTTTTTATATTGCAAATCAAATATACAAATGATAAGAATACCCTATTTAATACTGATGGTCATATCTATTGCAAATTGGCTCCCATTCTTCATAACTAGTCATTTCGAATAAATCTGAATTTATAAAACAAAAAGAAAAAAACAGCTTTTTGTTCATGTAGCAGAATAACATTTAAACTGAGAAATGTTTTCCTGATTTAAAAAAAAGACGTAAAAATGTTAGCGTAGCTGTTCTGTTAGGGCAGGAAAAAGGTCCAGTTTTGCAATTTGGGTGAAAGCTGTAAGTGATACAACCCTCAAGTAATTTTAACACTGGTAGCAGCATCATTAGAAATATGTTTTTGCTTGAAGCCTTAAAAAGTTTTTCATCTGAAGGACTAATGATTACATTTGATCTCTAGATCTCTTTGCCCCAACCTTACATCACAGAGGATAAAAGGATTGAGTTCAGTGGAGTGTAGTAGATTTGTTAGTAAGTTTTATTTGAGTTTTTGAAGCAGGTTTAACGGGTTAAAATGAAACAAGGAAAAAGGTTTTACAGTGGTTTCAGGGGAGAAAAGGTGCAGCTGGTGACTAAAGCGGGGATGCTGAAAACAAAACTAAAAATACATTTGGACAGATCAATGCATACAGAGCCAGCTGGCTTTGCAAGTTTTCTCTGGAAAAACATCTGGAAAAAAAATAAAAATAAAATAAAAAACAGAATCTAAAAGCGTCTTTTTGGCCCAATGAAGAGCAATAACACTAAAAAGGGGGCATTCACACTGCCGGTCCAGTCCACTGATCGGTCCAGAGTCAGTCTGTTTGTTTTTTTTCTAGATTTTCAGAGAAGACCTCAGACAGTTGAATTATTGCAGAGGCAGTATTGCTCCAGCATCGTAGTGATTAGGAAGGAACAGCAGCACCAGGGAGAACACTGGTCTCATGGTGTTTCTGATGCTACTCTACTCTTAAAATGTACTTCAACCTCTTCTGTACTTCATGTAGTCCCAACAGGAATTTTTACACAATTTAGTTTTTGGTTAAGAGCTCATAACTTTTCTTCTTCTCCTGCTACATTTAAAATGTTCCCATTACATCCTCTCTTAGTGCTTTTAGTATAGTTGTACTGCCAGGCTTTACACTGCTGCAGGCTCTTAATAAAAGAGCAGCTGTTTAACTGAGCCTTGCTATGGTTCTCTGGTCCGTTTCAGGGTCCAGGATGAGTTCAAACTAGGACTGCAACTTATTATTATTCTGTTAATTGATTAATCTGTTGATTTTGTTTTTTGAATAATTTATTAATAATCTAGTATAAAATGGTTTCTTAAAGAAGATTTTATACAGAATTTAAACCAGATAAAGCTAAAACTATTCAACTTAAAAAGTTCCCAACATAGCATTTTAAAAGACATTTTTTTAATTCTGTATGCAAAAGGTTCATAAATGTTTGACAATTTTGGTGTAATTAGTTTACAGAGTCTCTATCCTCCAGTTAACGATTAATCGATTACTAAATTAGTTGACGATTAATTCAATAATCAATTATTCAGATGAATTGTTTCAGCCCTAGTTTTTACCAGTGTTATACTCCAAAAACTGAACCCTGGCACGGTTAAAAGCACTACACAGGTTTGGTGTGAAAGCAGCTTAGGATCCAGTGGTCAGTGTTTCCTCATCAACACTGATAAATGGTCTCTGAAACCCGACAGGCCTATAAAATGTAGTCCTCTATAACACCTTTCCCAATTGAAAACAGCACGTTAATGCATGTTTTTCATAGATTGACCCCCTAACAATCTGCATTTGGCTTCCCTTCCATTTGGAAAAAAAAGTCATGTCTAACATCCCGCAGCTGCATGTCTGGTGATCCCATCATGCTGGGTTAGCATCGATGATGCCACCAGTGTGACAGAAATCAGGACAGTAAACCATAGAAAGCAACATGTAAGGCAGGCAGGGCGTAGTCAGTGCGCTTTATTTTTTCGGTCTTTTGTCCCTCCAAATTCCTCTCACTAGTGCTCCTCCAAGTTTATGGAATTTAAACTGTTTTTTCTGCCTGTTAGATCAGAAGTGTGTGATGCGGTGTGTTGGCGTCCATACGTTGTGTTCAATGGTATCACATAACTTAGCGGGTCAACTGGCTCTGGTGTTTCCACAGCATGCTGATTAGATTTTTATATGGGTTGCTTTCCGAGTCATTTGACCAAGATAGACACGCGTCAGTGAGCTGTTCCCAATGCCACTAAAAGCCATTTATTCCTGGGTTCAAATGGGTTTTTTGGCCAGTTTCAATTGGTTATATGAGGCTCGGGTTTTTTTTGGAGGCCTAACCAGTGAATACTGTTACTCCAAATAAAAAAAAGTGGTGCATGTTGCTTTTAAGAATTAAAAGAATAAGAAAATAAAATACAGAAATATCTATTTACTCTTTGTTTTCATGAAAAGGGATCGGGAAACTTTATTTTTTCAGTATTTGACCAGCAAATAAGTCAGAATGTCTCTGATTGCTGAGCTCTGGTTTAGATGCCTGCATGTTGTAGATGTACAACACAAAGATCTGCCCACATAAAAAAATAAAAGACATAAAAATGTTCTGATTTGATAGTTTCAATTGTAGAACAGTTATCTATCAGAAATGTCTACTTTTAAAAACAAAAACAAAGCTATGATCATGAGAACCAAACTTCTTACCTGCTATGGTGAGGAGTGTCTGTGCTCACAGAGTAGTGTCGTACAAGCTTGGGCTTGGTAGCTGCACTCAGTTCCTGCGGTGTCTGAGTTCGCATGTATAAGGGGGAGTCCTCGAGCATTGAAGAGGGGGTCGGGGAGTGACTGAAGGTGCTGGCTCGACGACGAAAAGTATGCGGCTCGGGATCACAGGGAAGAGAGGAGGAGGAAGGTGAGAGAGGAATAGAGGAGTCAAGAAGCTTCAGGTCTCCTGTGGAGTTGTGGCCTCTGAGGAAATCAAGAATAAACAGCATGGACACCAGCTAAGTAATAAAATTTATTCAGACAAAAAGAGGAGGATTCTGTTGCATTATGGATCACCTAAGCACTGACTAAAAGCATAAGAAAACCAGCAAAATATTTAACATAATAGTAGTGATGTACTTGTAGCAAACATTAAAACGAACCAAACCGTAGCCTTTAGGTTCATTTACCTGAGAGGGCTGGTGGGCCGTAGATGAGGTGAGGAGGTCAGAGGCTCCTCAAAGCAGGGCTGACCTCTGCTACTGATGGCAGTATAAGAAGAAGCACTGCTCTCGCTTCCCGGACTGTTCTCCCTCTGAGGTTTGGCCTTACTGCTTCCCTACAAAAACAAAAAAATAAAAATAAATGAGACAGCTATAGACATAGAACTCCAATAACATGTTTGAGGAACTTTGACCTTCAGTTTACACCGGATGTGAATCAAAATGTGTATGGACAGGTAACCCACTGTGCAAGAAAAACTAGCAGCCTGCATCACATTACATCAATTACATCAGTCTAAACCTTGGATTACAAACAGCTATAAAAAGAAGCATAGATCAGTCAGATCCAGCGAGATCTTTATCAATGGGAGCAGTTCTGAATACTCCAGAAATGGAGATAGAGATCATCTCCCCCATTATTTGGTTTTATTTTACCTTAATTATTTTATCATTATTCATTAATTGCAGGAAAGGAGCGGTAGTGGAAATTAAGCTAATTTGTCTGAGCAGCTGCCATCAGTCAGGAAACCATAGCAGAGCCTGTATATACCAAGAAAGGCTTAGTATTCAAGTTTAAAGTCTGTCATTTGACTGGAAATATGATTTCATTAGAACACGCTTAAATAAAGCAGTTTGTGTATTCCTAAAGCAAGCAGAAAATAAATGAATACCTTCCAGATGCCCTCCAAGGACTCGGTAAGAGAGCGCTTTGCTCTGGTCTTAAACTGCTCCAGTCGCTGCCGGCTGCTGCTCTGCTGTTGGGTCTCCTGAGCTGCAGCAGCTGCATCTTCAGAGATCTGGACACAGAGGAGGGATGGAAACTGTTAAATGAGGAAGTTATGTCCCCTTGCAGGCAGTTGCGCCTCGGGACTTCCCTTCCGGTCCTTTTCCTGGGAGCAAGTTATTTCCTACTCATAACTCAAACTGGGTAAAACCATATAAAAAAGACTATAAAAACAGGAGTAAAAACGTAACAGAGTTTATTCCAGATCAGGTCGTTACAGGACATAGAAAAATGCTTGGAGCTTGCACAGCTGTGGGCTCAAAAAATGTCAGCGAGTGGCAAAGATTGAGCCCCTAACAAGGTCCTCTCCTGCTTCTTATACCTAACATGTCTATGTGTTGCATCAGGTAGATGCTTAGCTGTCCGTATCAGAAACTGACACGCCATCAATGCCCTGGCCTGTCTGATGGGTGACTGAAGCAAGACATGAAATTCGCATTTTAACAGGGATTTGTACTTTCTCAAAATTATCGTTTGAAATCATATATTCATGTTTTTTACTTCCTATTAAATGCTTTTAGGGTTGATTTTTTTCCTTTCCTTTGATGTCTTGTAAAAACTTTGTATTTCTTTGTGCATTAATGGCCATAAATAAACATACCTGTCTTATGATAATGTTGCTGATATTATATTCAGATTCTTTTGGACACATGATTTAATTGATTATCGATTCAATATTAGACTAAATTAGGGATGTAAACAAATTGTAGCTCAATATTTTACTGAAATATAGCATCAAATATTTTAACAGCCTATAGGAGATATACCCCGTCTTTTAATCAGTATTAAAAGATTATTTATACGGATATTTATTCGAAGCTGTTTTATATATCATATTCATACAGTTTTAGTAACTTAATTCAGCACATTAAAAAAAAAAAGAATAGCCTTTCATTTAATGGAAATATCTTAAGAGAGGAGAAAACTCAGGTCTTTAATTTCCACCTATCAATGAGTCGATTGATGGGATCAATCATCTTTTGAATAATTTACTAATATCTAATCCACATCCCTAGTTTAAACCTTTTGATACAGATTCTGTAGTTTGAATTTTAAGATTAGAACAATGTTTTCTTTAGAGTACCTGTTTGTTTGTATGTATATATATATATATATATATATATATATATACACACATCATATAGAGATATATATGTATAACTTAGAGTGTGAGCTATTAAAATATTTATCCTTCCAAATATTACATTTAAATACTCTTTTCTAATTCAACTATTGCAAACAGCGATATTCGATCGCAGTTCAATGCGTGGTGCATCCCTTGTTATATTACTAAAACTTCTGGTGAAGAATTCAACTTTTCTAAATGAGGGAGAAACCATTTCATCAAAGCAGTTCTGGATTATTGGTGCAAAAACATCAATACTGAGCAGACAAATGTGGCCCTCTTCCGGGTACATCATTTTAAGTTGGTTTAGGACTTTGTTGCTTTTTGTAGACAGTCTAATTATGATTGGTCAGATCGGCATGTCGGCTGTACCCATTTCCTGTCTAACCAGGTTGTTCCACTCTATGGTTGACAGAAAATAGAGCAATCAGTGGTCTGCAGATTGCCGCAGTAAAAAGAAAACAACAGCACTTTGCTGTTACAGTTCTGTACATGTATATTCATTTCAGCGTTGTGCTATGCATACCTGTTTGCTGTTTTCTGTCAAATAGTGCTGATGAGCTTTCTGCTTGTCCTCATACAGGTTCCTTAGATCGGCCATCACTAGCTCGTTTTCTTCCTGATCACTCTTTGGACGAGCCCGCTGAATACAAAGGAGCAGAATGTTCATTATAGTCGCCTAAAATCAATGTTATATCTGTTAAACCAAAGATTTAAGCTGTTTGATTTGTGTAGAACAGCTGGAAATACATCTTGTAACTTGAAGGAGATTCTCTATTAAAGTTTGATGTTGAAACAAGACAGGATTCGTTTTCTTTTTTTCTTTTAACTTGGTTTACAAATCCACAATCAGTTTTTTTTCATTGATTGTTTTACTTGTTTATTCAAAGGTTTTAAATAGTCTAAAAAGTTGTCACCATTTGTCCCTCATTAGTCTTGTTCCTCAACATAATCCTGCCTATAAAACTGATTTAACCTCAGAATCAATCCATTGGTTCTTTGGGTTGGAGAACATTAGCGAGCAAACAGAACTGATGGAACAAAGCAGCAGGTCAGGGAAAAGGATGTGGAGACGACAGAGGCAGATTTAGATTATAAAATAATGTACAAAGTCTTGAATCTCTCAAGCACTTTTTAAATATATAAATAAAAAACAGAAAGACAAAATCACAACTACAAAAATACTAAGACTTTGGCCTCCATGTACACTAACAAACCACAAAATTTGAGTATGAAAAACAAAAAAACTGTAATTTTAATTCCAATTTATTCTAACTACGTATGAAGTGTTTTGTTTTGATCCATTACTCTAAATTCTAATCAAACACACTTTATTTTGTGTTTTCAATGTGACAGAATGTCAAACGGTTGAACTAATACAGCCACTGTCCACCTGCTTGCCCACAGTAAAAAGGTTTTATATTGAACAATTTTGTTGTAGTTCAGCTAAGCCACCAGCAGATGTCACCAGAGTCTGAGAATCACGGATCTGCAATCATCTACTTTGTTAAAGTTCTTATAACCTGCCCTGCTGCTACTCTTCCACGTGTGACATGCTTAAAAGACTGAAAGCTGATATAAAACATTGCAGAGTCACCAATAATTTTTTTCTTTTTGCTTAAATGTATTTAAAAATGGTTAATCAACAGGAAACATGCAGAACTGGAGGCCTTACCATAGTGTTTTCAAAGACGGAAGCTTGCTCATCATTGTCTAAAGTGGCCAAGTGCTTCTGAAGCTCTAGTTTTGCTTTGGAAGGATGCAAACCTGTGAAAGAATAAAAATAGAGCAGGAAGAGGCATGTTTTTAAAAGAAATTACTTTTTAACCATGTCTTACTCTTCAGTTTAACTCTCCAACCTGAAACATTTATTAAGGTACATCTTTATTTATCCCATATAATAATAATTTATTTCAGTCTATAATTGCATATTTTCTACCTTCTATTCTCTCACACAGTCTGTGGAGTTGCTGTATAGGGCAACTGTCACACTGCTGGCTCTGAGTCTTTGCATTCTGCTGCAGGGCAGCCACAGAAAATGCCTGCTTCAAGGTCAGCATGATCTCATCCACCTTTAACAGCAAAACAAGGTTGGAAATCGTTGTAGTCTCTGGATTCATTTCAGGAGAACATCTGAGTTTTGAATAAAGACCTCCATACCAATGATTCATCAGTGCACTGGAAGACGTAGCACACAAAGTGGCAGCTTCCACTCTCAGCCGTTTCTCTGCAAATGAAGCCAAAGTGATCGACATGACGAATACCCTGAGGGGAGACGAAATCAAAACTTGTTTCACATGAAACCAACTTAAAATGGCTTATTTTGTACCACCGTTTCAGACCTGGGAGCAAAAGGAGATTTCCCGGAAACTCTTCTCTATGGCTACTTTCTTAGTGTCAGGACTAACCAAGAAGATCTGTGACTTGCCCACCTAACATTAGAAAGAAAAACAAAACAAGTGTATGAAAGCATGAACCACATATATCTGTACAGACACTGCATATATGCACACTCTCACATTTAATTCTACTAATTATTTAATCATTGCAACTCAGACAGGATCATCCCCCAAAAAAGCTAAACTAAATGCTAAAACAATGAAAGACAGTAAAGAAATGGTAGCCAATTCCCATGAAAATAAATTTAGAGTTATGCAGGCGCCTTGCCCTGACACAAACCTTCCCACCTCAGGGAGGCCTCTCCGAATCACACAATATGTTCATCTTAAGCCCTTTAGTAACTGATCTGACCATGTGATTAAGTTTATTTTCTATTTAAAAGATGTAATTGTGCAAAAGAATATTCAGTATGAAATACTTATATGACACATTTTTGATCCAATCATACCTTCAATCTGACTGTGTCCATGTAAATTTAAGGACAAAGAGCTTGTTTTAGGAAAACCTGACTGACTTATATTTCAAAGGTTTGCAGTGTAGAGTCATTCAGAGTTGTACAGTGTGCTATGGTTTGTTGTTCTACTTCTTAAGCTTAGAAATGATGGTCAAAAGCTATCCTGCAGGATCTTCTCCCAAATAAAAGTTAGCAAGTACATTAAGCCATCCAGGTTCCAAAGCAGCCACAGGCATTGTATTTCCTAGAAAGTTTTCTGCTTCCTGTATTCACACCTGTTATCTTTCTCTCATAATAATAAAATCTGTATTATTATTTAAAAAATCAAAAAATAAAAGCAATCTTTAAGTATGAAATTGTTTCTTGTTGGAGTTTGTTTAAAGCGACAGACTTGAACCAGACTAGCAAAGCTCCACATTTCTCTTACTGACATCTTGGCTGATTTCTTTTGATTTTCCATGATGCCACACAAGGCAGCCAGTTCTCATCTGGACTTTCCAACATCATGGGAGTCATGGCGACCTTACTGTTACAGACTTCTAAATTCGAAGATAGTAATAAACAATGATATAAGAACTCATCGGTTCCCACTCAATCATGAATTTAGCAGACATTATTTTGGTAATCCTAACTAATATAAAACAGAAACTGTTTAGCTGGTTTAATGCCAGAAAGTGAGAAAATCCATGTTTTTAATCTTTCTCTAATATATGCAGAAAAAAACTTCTGGTTTTAAATGTATATCTGGTCACATGTTATGAATTAGAAAAGAGGGAATCTGCCTTTATGATAAAAAGCAGAAAACAACATCCCTACAGATCTTCATTACTGGCCTCCAAAGGCTGATCTAAAATACCGACTAAAACAAAGTATTAATTGTAATTTTTTTTAAGCCCTGACATATTTGGCCGCTCCTCCACCCCCAGTTTCCCTTTTTGTTATTACTATTCCCATACTGAGATCGTTTCCACAGTAATTATTTTAACTATATTAAACCTGAGCCAAAAAAGGAAGTGCTGACATCACCTAATGAGATCAGATTGTGGGGGCAGCAATCATATCTGTGAATCATATACGTCAAGAATAAGTGGTCAAATATCTGCTGAGCAGGACAGTATCATGATGCTCCCTGTGCCAGTCATGACCATTTCCTGTCTGGGATGCATACAGGAAAATCCCTGCTGGCATAAATCCACAGGGGGCAAGTAAAGGTCAGGCAGAGGAGTGCAGCTACACCCATTTTTAGCAGCAGTCAGCATTTCTTCCTGCTGATTTGATACCAGTTATCATGTTTGTGTACTTTGCCAAAGTTTTTGGAAACCAACTATACAGAGTTCACCGAATCCAAATCCTTAAGAGTTTAAGAGAGTTCACTTAGAAACACACTCAAACAAATAACAGGTGATCTTATGGCGATTTAAATCAACTTACGCTTTTTATCCACAGGATGTACATAGGAGGACTCAGCCACCTTACCAGCTCTAATGTTAAAGGTTTTTTCACACCTGACCGGCTTTGGGTGAAGACGAATAGAGTGGTTCAAATGAAGGAGCAGGTTGTACTGAAATAGTTTTACTATTTAGAAACTAAATAACTATGCCTGAAGGAAAATGAGAACATGGCAACTTTCCCAAAGAAAAGAAAAAATTTTTTTTTTTCCTTTTTCTTATTTTCCAACAAAAAATACTTCGACAAAGGCTTTTCATTTTTTTTAGACGGGTGGTTCTAAATCCTGCTCCTCAAATTCCTGTGAGTTTTAGTTGTCTCCTTGCTGCAACACACCCAGCTTACATTTCTATCAACTCGTTTTGCGCCCTAGCACTCGGTTTTGTGTGTTTACATGTAAGGGTAGTGTGTCCCTATAATTTTAAGAGCTAGGGGGAAGTGTCCTTCTACCCTTAACCTCTTAATATCCACCACATTTCTGGGAAATTCTCGCCTATTTTGCATTCCCAAATGGAAAAGCAAAAACTGTGGAACTGTAAGCCCAAATTACATGTGTGATACAGTACGTTATTTAAAAGCTAACATTTTCTAGTTTCTGAATATATATATTAAAATTGGGTAAAACACCCAAGCTGCATCAGTTCAAACATGACTCAACGTTTTGCTTTTTTAATTCTTGAAAATAATAAGTCTTTTTTGAACAGCAGTAATAAAGCGCGCCAGCTTCCATTCATTCATCCTGTCTGATGAACTGCTGCTAGTTTTACTCACATGCCTGGAAGATGTCTAGTGCTACTACCACAGATGATCTCGCTCTCGAAATGGAATTGAACGATTCAGATTAGCTCGCCGAATGAATAGAAGGGGTAGAGCGTAGCTGCCTGTGGCCCGGGCTGCCTTTCACAACTCCAGTCCGCATGTGCGGATGACGTCATACACGCCGCTTTGTTTTTAAAACATATAAATATAAAAAATATAACCGCGGATGTCTGGGGGACAGTGATTCGCCTACATGTTATGAATGCTGGCGTACCATAAATGATAAATTATGAACAGCTCAGTTTGTGCCTTCACGTCGATCGCCCATAGGAAGACGTTTATTGGATATAAGCAAACGGAATATCTTCAGAACTGCTCCAAATGACACAAAACTTATATGGGTGAGTAGAACAAGATGTAATAACGTAAAATCAAGGGCCAAATGTAAAAAAAAAAAAAAAACATTGTTCCCCTTTAACTGCAGACTTTTATCATGAACAACAGCTGATAGAAAAAAAAACTTCATAACATGTTTTTGTAATTTTTCTGTTTTCACAGAGAGGAGAAAAAAATACTGATCCAACTCAATCTAAATGGGCTACTATTTCTAAGAATGCGATGCTAAACTCAGCTCAATAATGGAATCAAATTACCGTGAACAGCATGGTCCTGTTCTCCTGCAGGCTGGTCGGCTGCACACTGGTTGAGCTGGTTATCGGATCTTTAGTGTTGTTGTTAGAAATTTCTGGACATAGGCCGTTCTCATCGAGGTGCAGGCTTGGAAAACTGGAGTCTCTCTTGAGCTGAGCAGAGGTGGACCCAGTGGTGGCGTTGCCCGCCGTTCCATTCCGAACAGAACCATTTACCAGTCCAGCTGAAGGGAAGGTAAATGCCCTCTTAAGCCCATCTACCAAGCCTCCGCCTCCTTTATCCGTTGTCCCTGAGCTGTGCAGCAGACTGAACTTCTCGATGCACTCATCTATTAGGGCGGGTGGGGCTTTCTTGTGAGCGACACTCACCCGGCCGCAGAAAAGTACCTCGAACTTCTTAGCGAACGTCGATGGAGACACAGCAGAGGTGGGGGCGGAAGTGTTTGATGAAGAAGAGACAGAGAGGCATGTTTCTGAAGAATCGCTGCTTTCAGAGCTTGTGGACGTTTTGGTGGAGTCGCCACTGATGTCACTGCTGCGTGCCGAGCTTTTACCAGCATGCCTCAACGTACTGATGATCTCAGGGACCTGAAACAGAAATATAAACAAAGAAAGAGGAACTTTTTTAACATTCCATTTGGTAAACACAGATGTAGGGATTGTCCATGCAACTTTTTGCTTTTTGCAAGATTTGCTTTCAGTTAAGCATTAGCAAAGGTTTGCCAAAATTTCTGACAAAACTATGAACTTACAGTAGAACCTTAAGGTAATTGGGATGGACATCAAAGAAGTGGGGTACATTACATTTCTAAGTCTGACCTAGTGGTGTCAGTAATGACACCAAACTGAAGGTAGGCTGCTGCAAAACTTACAGGAGGAACTAAACAGTAATGTGGCACATTGCAGTTTGCAAAACCAAAAAAAAAAAAAGTTGAGAGATGAATGGAAATTACAAATGCTTTTAAATAAGAATTGAAATTGCTTTTACAGATTCAGCATTTTCTGCATGATTTTTTATTTCATTTTTTGTTTTTGGTTTGTTCAGGGGCCATAATCTATCATTAAAGTCAAATCCCCCATACAGAAAAAAATGAGTTAATTTGTTGCCACTTTCTAATTGTGAAACTCTGTTAGAAAAGAAGTAAGTTTGGTATAAAACTGAACGCTGTGAGTTTAAATAAGCAGACCCTTCAGAGGGGGGGGGGTAGCAGGCTGTAAGGCTGGTAGGAGATTTAGAGAGATCTTAAAATCGGCCATTTGACTGAATTCAAATTAGTAAACCCAGGGAGGGTTTTTTTAAAAAGCTGCCAATATCATTGGGTCTTGTAGTCAATAAAAACACACAAAGCAAACTGTAAGAGAGTAGAAAGTAGGATCCAAACTCTGAAATGTTCCTGCTGTTAATCTAAAAGTGCAGGGCTGTAAAATCAACAACAGAGAGATGATCCCTATAAGAGAGGAGTTTATCTGTTATAGATGAACTCATCTGTTTTAGGGACAACAAACAGACAGAGAGCAGACGTTCCTCAGTCTGCTATCAGAGACTAGTGGATACTATCAGCTAAAGGGGGTCAGACCAGTTTTGAGTGATCTCACTTTTAAGTAAAAAAAATTGTTGATGTTTTTTTACTTTAAAAGTGCTGCCTGATTTAATCTGTTTAAAAATACTTATTAAGAGATAAATAAGAATTGCGGATAGATACGCATGACAGGATTGAAAGAATGTTATATGCTATACAGAGTCATTTTTTTATCAAACGACTAAATGCTTACTGTAACAACATATGTACTCTTCAGCTCATAGTGAGCAAACATGAAGTACAAGGTCATTGTTTCCTGGAAACAAGCAGCTTTTTGTAAGACGCTTTTCATGAAGCAAAACCATATTAGAACCTTTTCCTCACAAAGCATGCTTTGTGCTCTCTGGTGACTGCACTCATTTCTCAACTGACAAAGGTTTTAATTTTTTTCCATTTCCATGTTCGCTTTTATTGCAAATTACTTCAAGCCTTTTTGTGCATTTAATTCAGTTCAGTTTATTTACATAAGGCCAATTCACAACACATGTCATCTCAAGGCCCTTTGCAGAGACAATTCAATCAGATCATCCAGTCAGATTGGCTCAAAGTTTCTAAGGAAAACCAGCTGATTGCATGGAGTTACTGACTTTCCAGGACATGCTCTTCCAGGATACGCATGTGGCGACAGTCAATATTCACAAGCATTGTGTTGTTGACTCTACAGTAGTCACTCACTTCGAGGTTATGCCAGTTAGTGAAATCTTTCTTCAAGATTAAGTTTTGTTGCAGGAAAATGGCAGATTTTAATGAAAATATTCGATTCTAGGCTTGTGAGACCTTTGAACCTAGAACTTTATCTCACTATACTAGTGACTAAATACATCACAAAGAAATTTGAGGATCTAAAACAGACACACAGAAAGTGGAACCAACAGGTTGTTCTAGATGCATGGTTTCTCTCACTGTATTATAAGCCTGGCGCCTGCTAGGCTTTACTCACCCCACCGACAGGCTAAGTTGTTACTTTATACTTTTCAAAGTACGTCTAAATAAACTATTTAGGATGATACAATGAAGAGTAAATTTGGTAAAAATGGTATGAAGACTACTGCAGGTCAATATGTGAAAAGGTAAGGGGATCAGCTGTTTTTTTTTTTCACCACTCTGAAAACCATTTCCTTTTCTCTACCCTCCAACTTCTTCAAAAAACACAACATGTCACAAAGAAATGGTTGGACACTTTCTCTGTACAAAGTCAGAGGAGTAGTGTAGGAGATGTGGGGCTAAATTGTTTAGCTGGTGACAACTTGAGTGCAACGCAACTGTAGCCTGGCCAGCCAGCCTGACTTATGCCAAGTACACAGCATATCAGTCCGGAAAGGTCTGTAAATACTATTGGATTGTTAATTTTTTTTTTAAACAAAACAAAATTAAAGACCATGTTAAATAGAAATAAATGTGTGTTCTCAGTCACCCATATGAATTTGATTAAAAAACTACCAAGTATACAATATTTGTTTCAGATGTTTTTCCATTTCACCGACTAACCTTACAAAAGCAGAATTGGAAAAGTTGGAGAATACCAGCATGAATCTTGCTACCTTTCATAGAAACACCAGCATCCTTATGTTTACATGGATGCTGTTTTGAGTCATGAAGCTGTCCTCATTGTTTTTGCACCACTGAAATGCAGGCGTAGCCACAACAATGGAATGCTGCAATCTAATGTTGAAGATAATCAGTTTAAATTGAGGTTTCTCAAGCCTCCACTGCAACACCACTCAACCTAACCTGCAGGTGAAGATGAATCACCAGGACCGGTTTAAGGCCCTGTTTACAAGATCCTTTTAAAATGGGATTTCTTTTCCATTCATTTAACACATCTACATGATAATTATGGTTGCAAATTATTGATTAGTTAATTAATCTTATGTATATTGATCTTATCAATTGACTAATGATTAAGTGGTAACAGTCACATTTAAAAAAGTATTTTCTTGGGATGCACCAAAATGAAAGTTTTTGGCCAAAAATCCAAAACCACAAAAAATAGGAAAACTAAGGCAAAAAAACGAAAACTGAAAGAAATCCATCTATCCATCCATCTTCTCCTGCTTAGTCCTGTCAGGGTTGTGTAGGGGCCAGTGCCTTCCTCGGACAGCCTACGGGCAAGAGGTGGGGTACACCCTGGATAGGTCGCCAGTCCATCGCAGGACAACAGAGAGGAACACCTAAGGACATTTTTTGAGAAGCCAATTAACCTAACATTCATGTTTTAGGACTGTGGGAGGGAGCCAGAGTACCTAAAGAAAGGATTATGTAAAATATAAGAACTAGGGCTGCAAGTAACGACTATTTTGCAAATTGATTAATCAATTATTAATTGGATAACCAAAGACTCTTTAAAGAAAACTTCTTATGAATTTAAACCAGGCTAAACTCAAATTTTTCCACTTGAGGAGTTCTTGATAGAGTGTATTGACGGACTAACCCTTTATCTTAAATTCAAAATGTTTATATTTTTTACAATCTTGGTGTAATTACTGCTCTAAGTAGGTTGTTCTGTCATCTAAAGTCATGTTGTAGAGTCTCTATACTCCAGTTAACGATTAATTTATTAGCTCCTATTTAGAACCATAGCATTTTTGGCATTTTTGATGTGTACCGACCAAAACTAAAATCAAGGAACTTCAATTAATCAATTACAGAAGTTTCAAATATTTATTTACAATTACATTTTTTTTTTTTTTTTTTGCAGAATCACTGGGAAATTTTCTTACCTTTTTAAAGATAGATTTAAATCTAATAAACGATCAATGACGTTAATTATTGCTTATATCCCAAAGGACAACATGTTATTACCATACACCTAAAAATTAAAACAGCAACCGCAGAAATATAAACAAATTGTGTAAATTTGCTGCCAAACCTCTAGTGGGCAGGATGTTTGTTGAATCTTAAAAATAGTGTGGGCACTTTCTGCTTAAAAAAAAACAAAAAACAAAGGAGAAAATAGCTACTAATTAGCTACAAACTATAAGAGTCAGCAGCACCACAACTAAGTGCATTGCAATCTCCCATTGTTGTTGATATCTACTGTGATATCTGATCGGCAGCTGTCATGTTGTGAATGTTAGCATTAATTTCTGATATCAGTCTTAATGAACATAACAGAGCTTCCCCATAAAAGGAACACAGGAAGCAGGAGGCTTTTGAAAACTATTGCATTGTGAAAAACATTGTGACACTCTGACATTCTCAGCTGTCAGAGTTAACATTTAGCATTGTTGTGTAAAAAAAAATGTTCACCTCATTTGTACAAAGAGTCAAGTGCACACAAAGATCTTGTCTGATAGACTTAATGATTCCTGACTGTAGCAAAGAAAAGTGCACCAAGGTATCCTGTATTGGGTAATAAATGCTTATACATGATGAAGGCTCAACCATTAAAATGAAAATTGTCCAGGATTGTTAATACAGTAATACATTTTGTATGAAAGACATCTTAGCCCGAACCTGATGATAAAACTAGGCCAGTTTGTTTTATTTTACTGAATATGTAGGACAACAGAGTATTAAAGCCAAATGGTGAGTGTCAAAGAAAAGCTGCCCTGACCCAGGAAATGGTTTGTCTAAAAAGTGAGGTGTAACACAAACCTTTTACTTAAGTAGATAATATTCACTGTAACACAGAGCTGAGGTTTACTGCACTACTGGCATTGAAGTTGGGATAATAAACAATAAAATGCCTCAGTAGAAAATAAACTACTTCTGCTGCAAACATAATCTAACCTCAAAAGGAAAAAAAAAACTTATATAAATCAGATAAAACAGATGAATGCCAGTTCCATCAGAAAATGCCATTTTTTGCTTCTCCTATTTCGATCCAATTTAATGAAACCACAATGGCTGTGAACCAAACCACGGAACAAAAGGGAGGAAGTAGATGAGCTAAGCAGAAGCAACGTTTGAGTCACACCAGGACTGTCAGTCAGATGAAATGCCTGAACAGCAAATATGTCTTACGAACACACTCAGGTCTTGCTGCATCTTGTCTCGGTATGAGGT